ACTCTGTTCCTGAGGTCTTCAGCTCAAGGCTAGTGCTCTACCACTTGAGCCACAGCGCCACTTCCGCCTTTTTTCTTTTTGCTTATGTGGTGCTGAGGAATCGAACCCAGGGCCTCAGGCATGCAAGGCAAGCACTCTACCTCTGAGCCACCTTCCCAGCACCTTGGTTTAATTTTTTACAATGGCAGTGGCTGTATATTAATGTTTGATTGTGCTCGCTCTACTTTTTCCTCTCTTCTTAGTATAATTCTTATTATAATCGGATTGTAAGTGCAAAGAGAAAAATATCCTTTTAAATGAATATACCTAACTATTGGTAAGTATATAGGAAATATATAGAAAGATAGTAAAACTTATTTCCTCCATACCTTTGAGCCAAACCTCCTAAGCAGATCCCTTCAGGGATCTTTCACCAACCAAGACTAAATAGTGCCAAGCAGAATGTGGTATCGGTCCTGAAAAAGACAAACCAGTGCAACAGCAGACCTTGTCCCACTGTGTTTTGGCTTGATGGAACCAGTAGTTTCCAAATCCTTTCACAAGAGGAAGCCACTCCCCACCCCCACTCTCCTATACACAAGGCTTTTCTTGGCATAAACCCCACAGTGAGTCTTGGAGGTGATCTCTTAGAAGTCTTGGGTGTGACAGGCATGATCTCTTAGAAGTTAGCTTTTAACAACTGGCTCCCCAGGTGTCTTCTCTGGGCCTCCTGCTTCCTGCCTGCAGAGCCAGTGGAGGTGCTCTGTGGGCCAGGGTCATCTGAGGGCTCTCCTATCCAAAGGATGTCCATACAGAAACCCTCGAGGTTCTGTCTTATGTTCACCTAAAACAACAAGCAGCCTTTTAGTGGGTGAAATTGATTGGCATTTGTTCCTAAATCAAATGGATCAATCCCTTCCTCATAATCTCCCTGGACAATGGGAGATAGGGCTTTGGGTTGTTTTGTGGCTGTATCTTATTTTGTTTTGTTTGATCTCATGGAAGAGAAATACTTTGTGAGGAAGGAGTGGTTCCCATGTCACTGGATAGAAAGTATTATTATACAGATTCAAAGGGGAAGATCTATGCTATGGGAAATGTAAAACTGCAGCAAAATTAGAACTGACAGCTGTAGTGTGAATCCACTCCTCCTCACTGTATGATCCTGGACAAACTAAATAAACTTCAGCACATTTATAGAACAAAATATGAATACCAAGCAAAATTGATTTGAGGATTGTATTAAATCATTTATAGAACCTTCCCTTGTACTTAATATCTAAAATGGCCAAGTAACTAATTTGGGATAGAGGTTTCAGGGAGGTACTATTCAATCCATAGCAAAGTGTTCTTTATATCCCTGAGACATCTCCCCACCTCCAGGACAAAGAACTGAATATATACAGTAGACCTTTAGGCAGTTTTAGGACCCCTTAGAGAATGTAAGGAATATTCAAGCTACCATTCAGAAAGAAGCACATAGGTCTAGACCTGGGGGTCCCTGCATGCTATGAAACATGTATGTGGGCCACTCTGGAGCCTAGGCCAAGAACTCACACCTTAAGAGCTCAGTGCCTAAATCCCAAGCTCTGTTAGCAGGGGGAGGGTAACACTTACTCTCCTTTTGTATGTAATAAAAGATAACAGCACTCATCCTTAACTACATATCAAATTATGGTCAGTCCATCAAGGTACTGGCACCTTCTCCATAAATAGATACTTCTTCCTTCTCTCCCTTATGTTTGGGCACAAATCTGGCTACTTAGTCTACATGGAAAAGAAACCAATAGATTGAATTCATTCTAAAAGTTTCACCACATCACTGAAGTGATTTCAGTGATGTCTCTTATGTTTTTGTTAAAGAGGTAGCTCTTTCAAAGTGCTCAGTGCTAACACTTGCCTAATGGTTTCACTTAACCCTTACAACAGCAGCACTTGGTTACCACCATGGGGTCTCGGCTGCATCTTAGTTTGTAATTCATTTGCTGGAGGTCATTCAGCTAGTGAATAACACAGCCAGGAGAATCCACCTCCCTCCCCGCCCTGCAATGCAGTGCCCTGTCCTCATTGCTCCTCATTGCTCCTCATTGTCCTCATCTCCGCTGATGGAAGCATCTGGTCCTTAGTGGTATCCTGTGGGTGCCTAAAAGTTGTTCAGCCTTCTTCCTTCATCAACCATCCTTGAGGAGCCCCTCCAAAAATAGTACCCAGTACATGGGAGCCACACTCTCTGCTTGTTTCACACTTGTGTGAATCTTTAATGAGCCTCTCAACCTTTACAGAAGTATCTGACTTCTCCACAAACACCTGCAAACTGCCTTCTAAGCATCAGAATCCTCCTCTCCATTAACCTGTAGCTCTATTTTCAGATGAGAGCCTGGCTTTTATCACTGGACTTGAATTTCAAATATCCATCCTCCTTATCACTTGCCTGCCACTGAATCCACATCAATCAACTTGTGGTGGCCGAACTTCCTTTTAGACATCCAGGGACGGAAGTGTAGCTGGGACAAAACTGAATAAGAGTATGTTTGTTCTACCTGAATCTATATAAATTGTTATCTCAGTAACTTATGAGAAAACCTTTTGAACATTGTGTACTCTTTTTTTTTTAACATTGGAACTACAGACATCATAGGTACTTAGCTAACATGCTGGGTTGTTTAGGCATTTAAGGAATTTAACATATGCTAGGCCTACCCTGACTGTTTAGGTTGCACATACTCCTCCCTCAGCCTCTGGGGGCTCCTCACATTATAATGGTTTGGATTTTCTTAATGGTAGTCTGTACATAGCCATCGCAGCCTAACAAGAAGCAATTCAGGTCCCAGAGGCTCATACCTATAATCTTAGCTATTCAGGAGGCTGATCAAGGTTCAGTCTAAGACTCAGGGTTCAAGGAAGACAGGAGACTCTTGTTCCTTAATCAGTTAAAAAGCTAGAACTGGAGATGTGGTTTAAGTGATAGAACACCAACAGTAAGCAGGGAAAAAAAAAGCTCATCAAAACTATGAGGCCTTCAGTCTAAGCCCCTATATCAGCACAATAAGTAAATAAATAGCATTTTATTAGATGACACCACAACTCACTTGAAATATATAAATAGCCCAGGGAGAAAAATACAAAGCACATACATAACACACAAACAGGAATTTAGCTGGGTGCTGGTAGCTCACATCTATAATCCTAGCAATTCAGGAAGCTGAGATCTGAGGATCACAGTCCCAACGTGGACAAAAAAAGTCTGTGAGACTCTTATCTCCAATAAACTACTCAGATAAAGCTAGAAATGGCACTGTGGCTCAAGTAGTAGAGCACTAGCCTTGAGCACAAAGAGGCTCAGGGACAGTGTCAGGCCCTGAGTTCAAGCCCCAGGACTGGCAAAAGAAAAACAAAAACAGGAATTGGCCCTTGACATGTTGACCCCTAAAACAGTAACTTGAGGATATCTGGTATACCAAGCCCTTACTGGAGACAGCAGAGCAGAGCACCACACATGTGAGCCTGGGGGTCAGAGGTTGAATTCTTAGAGGGGGCAGAGGTTGAATTCTATCATTTACTTACTGCATGGCCCTAGGAAAGCCCCAAATGTGTCCTGTGTGAAACGGAGCTGATGACCATCCTTGACCTGTAGGATCATCATTATGGAACAAGGCCATTGTAAGCATTCGGCAGAAATGGCTGCCAGGGTGATTGCCCACCACCACCACCAACTCCACGATGCCCACAGACAGAGCACTGAAAACAGAGCCCCGTGGGAAGAACTCAGCCCCATCCCACCCAATGAGTGTGACCCCCACCTGAGGGTGCCAGCGTCTGCGTCCACAGCATCTTCCAGGTCCTCCCAGTCACTCTCGCTCTCCCGGGACCCTTCCAGAAGCAAAGACTCTGCTGGCAGGACACCCCAAGAACAGAACTGTGGCAGGGGAATTGTCTCTGAATCTGCCTCCAGACAGTCTTCACAAGGCAGCTGGCCTTCGGATGCACCCTTGATGATCAGGTACTCTTCATCTCCCGAGGTGTGGAAAGGGAGTTCTGATGGATAGCATGCGTCATCCCAGTCCCATCCAGGACTAGAAAACAGAAACCCGTGTGTCCCTCCATCCTCGATCAGAAATTCCTCACCCACTTGCTTTTGCCTTTCAGGGGGCTCACTATGATCACATCACATGAGACCCATCCAGAGTTCAAACTGTTCCTGTCAGAGGTCACTCAGGGCATCAGAAGCAAACAGTGGATAAGGCATGGCACCTGTCCTAGAGGAGACCCACCTTAATAGACCAAGGAGCAGCAAGCAAACATTATAGTGCAAGTAGTAAGTAGAAGCAGCACAGAGCATTATGGGAATGGGGAAGGCTGTTTAGCAAGCCCAGGAGACCACAGGGGGCTTGGCCAGAGGGCTTGGTGTTGCATGCAGAGCCAAGAGCTGTGACTCAGTCCTAGGGCCAACTATTTACATGATGAGCAGAGCTGCTCAGGAACACACATTAACTTTATTAACTTCTCTAGTCCCTTAATTTTCTCACTTGAAAAACTGGAATACTGAGAAATTTAGGACGTTTAAGTGAAAAAATCCTGAGACATGCTTTCATGGCTCCTGACCCAGGGCACATTTATAGCCAGTGTGAGATTCTGTTCTTATGACTATAATGATGATTACTATTTCAGTAACAAGATTAGGTGGAAAGAACCAAAGAAGGAGACCAGGAGCCACTCAAATAGGCGACCTTCAGAGCCCTTTGTGAAAATACCCAGTCCTTTACTGAGCCTTTAAAAAGTTGCTATTTAGAGAGGCAGCCTGGGGAGTGACATTTATTCACTGTTTCACAGGAAGGACACAGGAAGCAGGAGAATGGTAATACACTCATTATCTGGTGATGTAGATACAACCAAGACAGAATCAGCCTTCCCGGGGCTGTCCCAGTATCACCACATGTGTCTTAGATTAGAAAGAGCAGAAGAGCAGATGATGCAGATGGCAGGGTATTTGGAACAGCACTGCAGACATGCAGGGAAGGCACTCAGAAAATATCTGTTGCAAGTCTGGTTAGTGAGGATGAGAAGGAATATCTAAAAGGAAACACAGAGATTTAGCTTCTTTTTTTCTTAACCAACAACATAGGTCCTCATTTCTCAGCCTCTTTCCCCAGATCCAAAGCAGTAGATTTTTTGGCTTTGTTCTATAATAATGTCCTCCACACCCACTTTCTGCAGTGTGTCTTGCTTTTAAAATCAGCTCTGTGATAAATACAAAAACACCCAGAGTATATCTGTCCCAACCTGAGTTTTTACTATGAAAAGGGCATTATTACCACTGAAAGCTACAGCTTATATATAAAAGTGCATTTCAGATAAATATATGCATGCTCATGTGTATAAAAAGAAACTGGATTCCGCAAGTACTAAAGAGGAACATTCGCTTTTTCAAGAGAAAAAAAAATACTGAAAAATTGCCAAGCATCTGAAGGGAAAATTGCTTTAAAAACTTAAAGTACTTGACCATCTTGTACAAAAACTGCATTTTCATACAAACATAGGGAAAGTACACCTGGGAAGTTTTGTAAAAAGCAGGGAAACTAACAGGCGAGTACCATCACTGTATTCCATGTACACATGTGAATATGGAGTCATGTAACTTGAAGATATGGATGAGATGGAGAGATGAGATGGGAGAGAACAATGAAAGGGGCGATACTGATCAGGGTCCATTGTAATCATAACCATAATTATAATCTCACTTGTGGAATTGAAACCTTTTGTACAACAACTTAAAGATAATAATACATTTTAAAAATAAAAAGAGCAGGGAAACTATCTGTGTAAGGTGGCTCATATCTGTAATACCAGCTACTCAGGAGATTGAGAACATTGTTATTCAAAGTCAGATTGGGCAAAGCATTAACAAGACCCCCCTCTAATTATTAAACTGGGTGTGGTGGCATTTGCCAGTCATCCTAGCTACTTGGAAGGTCATTAGTGGGAGTATCGTATCTGAGGCTGTCCCCAAACAAAAATGGCATACTTTCCCTGAAAAACGATAAAGCATTTGCCTCACAAACACAGAGCCTTGAGTTCAAAACCTGAGAACTAAAAAAAAAAAAAAAAAAAAAGCAGGTAACTCAACTGCTTCAAGCAGCACCAAGGCCCTGCCTTTCATGGGCTTATTCTGATTCCTAATCAAGTTCAGACATGATAACCCTGCTCCCAGACAGCTTCATCCCTCATTAACCTACTCTCCCAGCTGGCGTAGTGGCTATAGTCAAATTAAACCTCCACCTTCCTCTTCTTTTGCTATTCCAGAAACAGCACCTCCTTCAGGTGAACGGTCAGTGTAGGTCATTTTAGGTTCCTTTCAAGGATCTCTGTCTTATTTTCCATTCTTCATTTTTCAATGATCATGCATATTTATGTCATCACTTTCACAAAAAATCATACTTCACTAAATTTGCATGTGTTTTACTTAAATGAATTCCACAACATGTGGTAGGCAAGATGAAAACAGAAAACCCAACTTTCTACTCAGTGAGTGTATATCTTGAAATGGACACCTGGAGCAGAAAGGAACCATCTATCTTGCCCATCGATCTTAGTTTCTAGGAAGTAAGCATTCAAAGATCCAAATATTCCTTACTGCATGGCCCCAAAATGCAAGAACATGACTTTTCTTGACCTGGGCTGGATGAAAGAAAAAGCAATCTGCTCCCATACCAGGGGAGCATACAACATCACATCTAAATTATGTTCAAGGCCAATGGGAATGGGTGTGATTTTCACCTCACCTTAATGGAATTTTACTCACCCATCTATTATATCATTGGCTGAAACTTCTAGGTCAGGTTGAAATCAAGTTATATGATCTAAAAGCTTCTGCTCTTTTTGTTCCAAATTGTGAAGTGATTTAGACTCACAAATGCTAGAAACAAAGAGGCAGTTGGTCTGGGACAGCCAACTCAGAACTTCAGATACTTCTCAGGGGGTGTGCAGAGTCACAACCTCACTTCCTAACCCTAACCCTAACCCTACCATGGATTTGAGGACCTGACAGTGACTGCTTGGGCACATGCTATGCTTTTCTTCCTGCAGGGGGCAGTCTCGATATGCACACTGAATGCAAACTAGTGTCCATTAGAGGAGGAACTGTCATGGTTTGAGTCATTCTTTCAGAAAGAAAAGGTTCTGGGTGGACAGAGAAAATAAGATGAGAGTAAAGCCAGGAGTCATGAGAAGGGAGACTATTATCATCCTCAGGACTCTCATGAGGAGACAGTAAAAGAGGAAGGAGGGGGCCATGGAGGTAACAGGAAGAGAAGTAGAAGAAGTAAGACTCTGAGCATGGCTGTGTGTGCCACATGGGTCTGGGGAGTGAGCTTAGTGTGTTACCATAGCAACTAAGAATCCCAGGCCTGCTAGACTGATCTGGACAAGCAGGCAGGACTCCTGTGTGACTCAAAAGGGCACTCTTCTCCAAGAATGACAGATTTGGGACACCTGGTGTTCCCTTTGCAAGTAGGGACACCAAGCCAAATCTAATTTTACTTGGAAAAAGAGAGTAGTGTGATGTCTCTTGCAAAAGAAAAAAAAGAAAAGATTGACAAAAAGAGAGGAGATGGGCATCAGGAATGGAATTTGAGGCTTCTTTGGACAAATAAAGGTTAATGAGACCCTCTCTGAACCAGGCTGCTATTAAAGCTGGGAATGGTGGCATGCACTTAGCATGCTTGCCTACATCAGAAGTGTATACAGGATCATAGTCCCACTAGAGCAAAAAAGAAAGATTGTACTTAAAATAATAGCCAAAATAAAAAAGAGCTGAAGGTCTGACTCAAGTGGTAGAACTCCTCACTAGAAAGCCTTGAGTTCAAACTGCAGTACTGCCACAAAAAAGAGGTATGTGTTATCTTAATAGAAGGAGTGCTATCTAATCAACAAGTACATAGAGATTGAACTCGGTTCCTCCAGCTTACAAGGCAGATGCTCTACACTTGAGCCCTACCTCCATCTTCAAATTTTTCTTTTATGTCCTACAAGAGCATGCTAATTGCAATTCTTGTATAAATCCCTGCAGACCATTCCCTTTATCATTTTATCTAGTACATAAATTACTGCCAAGAATGCAATTGTAAGGAACTATAAATACACTTGTGTTCACACATCCATTATCACTGATGAATGTGCTCACCTACCCTCTTCTACTTTGCAAACTGGTTGTTTTTGTTTGGCTGGCACAGCACTTTTTTAATATATCTGGATGATTTCAGGGAATGTAAACCTGGCTTCTGTTTGTCCAACTGGCACAGGATCTAATTATATGACAGTCATTTTGCTTCAAATGATGGTGGTCCCTTAGGTTCTGGGGGTAACTTGCTCCAGGACTCCTTGAATATCAAAATCCCCACAGGCTGGTGTTCATTATATAAAACGTGATACACTTGTGTATGTCTCATTTCTAGATTACTTATAATATTTAATACAATGGAAATGCTGTGCAAATAGTTGTAATGCTGTATTGTTGAAATAATGTCAAGAAATTGAATATCTTTAATATTTTTGTATTGTTACTAAGGTATTGTTCTTTGGCTTTTTTGCTCAAGGCCGGTACTCTACCAATTGAGCCATAGCTCCACTTCAGCTTTTTCTAGTAAATTGGAGGTAAGAGTCTCAAAAGACTTTCCTGCCCGGGCTGGATTTGACCCATGCTCCTCAGGTCTGAGCCTCATGAGTAGCTAGGATTACAGGCATGAGCCACCGACCCCCAGATTTTAATACTTCTGATATTTTCAATTTAGAGTTGGTTGAGCACACATGTGTATACTCCATAGATACAAAGGGCTGTCTGTACTTCATGTCACCTGCCAGTCCCTAGAATCTGTTCTGGTCACATTCCTAGTGATGGCCACCAGCTCAGAGCTATTTGTTTATTTGTTTGCTCTCTTGGGGTTTAAACTCAGGGTCTTGTGCTTGGTAGGCCAGGCACTCTACCCCTGGAGCCACTCCCCAAGCCTTTTTTTCTTTCATTGTTTTGCCCAGAACCAGCCTCAGATGGCAATCCTCCTACCTATGCTTCTGGGATGACAGGTGCATTCTGGGATGACAGGTGCACTCAGCTAATTGGAGTATCACTAACTTTTTGCCTGGGCTGAACTTCAGTTGTGATCTTTCCAATCTCCATCCCCCACCCCAAGTAGCTGGGATTACAAGTATGAACCACCACATCTGACCCAGATAAAACTATTTGTTCTCAGCCATTTTGTATAGTGTCAAACACAAAGTATTGCTCCTCATTATTTGCCTGTTTTGTGTCTATGCATTGTGCTAGCAAACCTGGAGCCTACCCAGTATTTTTATCTCTCTCTCCTTCTCTCTCTCCCTCTCTCTCCCTCCCCCCTCTCTTTCTGCTCCAAATATGTAATAAGTACTTATCAAACAGTGAAAGGTATATTTTTCATGAGAAAGGGACTAAAATACTATACATAAGACTATTCACTTAACAGTTATTAAAATGGTTTCCACCTATTCATGAAGATGATTATGATGGTGTGTGTGTGTGTGTGTGTGTGTGTGTGCCAATCAAAGGGCTTGAACTCGGACCTGTGTGTTCAAGGCTGGTGCTCTACCGCTGTGCTCCACTTCCAGCTTTTTGGGGTTATTTGGACGTAAGAGTCTCATGGACATTCCTGCCCAGGAAGGCATTAAACCATGATCCTCAGATCTCAGCTCTGCTGAGTAGCTAGGATTATGGGGTGAGCCACCGGTGTTAGACATTGCATATTCCTAAAGATGGTGTGATAATAAAGTATTATATTGACAATCGTAAGTAGGATGCACACAAGAACATCCCTCTTCCCATGGTGCTGTAAGAGGCTGGGAAGGATGCAGGACACAGGTGTGTGTTCTGGGAGAGAATCTAAGGCTTGACAGCAGTGGCCTCCAGGAAACTGAAGGTCTGGGTGGGGTTTATAGCCCCAAAGCTTGTAAATGGCGATTGGTAGAGCTCCAGACTTTCTGCTTCTCTTATTTCTGACTCCCCTACCCCCACCTGAAAATGCCTGGAATAGCACTGGGCACAATCATCTGGCTAAGTTATCCACTGCTTCATTGTAACCTTCTAATAGTAATTCATGCCATTTACCAATTGTTGCAAACATCCTGTGTCTTACCTCCCAAGTCTGCTGATATCACAGACTGAGTAGCAGTTTTGCCTCATATCCTTTTCCAAAGAAGATGCCAACGTGAGTGTCTCTGTTCCTTGGTGAAGTTTACATAAGTGAGGATGGGATTCTAGAGGACGCCTTGAGGACTTCATCCAATGTCTGTCTCGGTCTCGGTTCCCTTGTCCTTCTCTGCCCACCTTGCTGACAGCCTCTGGCTTGAGCTCCAGGCCTTCCCCTGTGTCTCCAGAGGTGCTGTCCCTCCAGTGGCCCCCTTGGTCCACAATGGGGCCCTGCTCCAAGTCGGTACACACTGCCCCGGCAAATCCTTTGTCTGCTGAGACTTCAGGAGTCTAGTAAAAGAAATGCTAATGAGTACTTGCTCCACAATGCATACCGAGAAAGCTAGAAAATTTGTTTCTTTAATAATACTCAATGTCCATATGTGAAAATGGAACCAGGTCACTTGAAGGGTGGGTTGAAGGTCACTTGAAGGGTGGTGGTTAGGCAATGGAGGGGCGAGGGAGGGAGGGGGAGGAAGGGATGCACTGTACTCATAAATAGTTACGCTGAATTGAAGCCCCTTTGTACAAGTATTTACTTACAGATAATTTTAAGGAGTAAAAATTCAAAAGTTATTTTAAAAACAACCAGGTGCCAATGGCTCAGGCCCATAATCCTAGCAACTCAGGAGGATGAGTTCAAACACAGCCCAGACAGAAAAAAGTACATGAGGCTCTTATCGCCAATTAACTACCAAAAAACAGGAAGTAGAGCTTTGGCTTGAGTAGAAAAAGCTAAGGGATAGCACTCAGGCCCTAAGTTCAAGCCCTAGTACTGGAACACATACACACAAAAGTAAAAACTTTTTAAATGAAGAAGGCCGAGGAGAATGAGAAAGAGAAAGGGAAGGAGGAGGAAGAGAAGGAGGAGGGAGAATCCCACTTTCTAGTAAAACAATGTTTAAAGTTTGTCTTTATCTGTTTGTCACAGATTTCTCTGCCCTTCCTGGCATAAGGCTCTTCCTTGGGTCTCTTTCTCTCCTCTTCAGACACAACTTGATTTGCTTCATAGCTAGCAGCCCTGTTGGCCTTAGAGGTTTTAATTTTGATGATCTGCTGTAACATAGCACCATCACTCAACCTTCCGTAGCAACGCAATCAGTATTCCAGTAGAAGATTGGCACTGTGGATGGCATACCTTTCTGGGCTGTCTAATTCTAGCTATGGACCTGGTCTTTGAGCTATAAGTCTCTAAGAAATCCCTTTGAAGCAGTTTTCATATCTCCTTGGTTACTTGTCTGAGGGAAACATTTGACACGTATACAGTGGAACTCACACTGTAACTATATGAGAGCCATGATTTTACCTTTTCCTGAAAATTAGGTGGGCAATTTCATCCCATAATCCACATTCCTGATATAATAGAGCCTGTGGTGAGCTCAGCCCTCCCCTGACCTGTAACAGAGGAAGCTTTATGTCTGCCTTCTGAAGAGGTTATCCCAAGGGGCTCCTTGCAATATAAACACACACGTACACACACACACACACACACACACACACACACACATATGCACACACTGAGATACACACGTAGCACACATATACATTTTATTGGTTCTACTTCTCTGAAGAGCCAGATCTGATATAAGTACCAACGTAAGGAGCTTGAACTCCTTTAGTTCCAGTGACTCTTCTTTGCCCTGGCCCTCACCTCCCTAGCCTTCACATACCTCCTGAGTGCTGTAGAAGGATGGGCACACATCTTGTATTCCATTATACCTTAGCATGAAACCCCTGCTAGAAATTCCTTTGCTCTGTTTTTGTGTCAACTCTCCTTGCTCCCAATTTCCCCCTACTCTAATGTTCACGCTACCCAAGAGCCTGGCCCTAGAATTTTCATTACCAAAGTCTAAATATACAAACCTCAGGACAACCCCAGTGTTGGATAGGCAGAAGCACAGGGAAGAAATAGATTTTCCTGGTGATGTTAAACCCTCCCCAAGAGCAGCAGAGGGCTTCTCAGGACCACCAGGCAGGAAAACAAGGGCTTGATAGGAGCCGGGTGAAGAGAGCACAGATACATGTGCATCTTACCTGCCATCCCTGCTCCATCTCAGGCAGTGAGCCTGGAGGAGGCCGGCAGAGGAGAAGTGTGACTTCTGGTGTAGCCCCTCGCAGCAAATGGAGCACCTCCTACAAGAAACCCAGAGCCAGGGTCAGATCTGGGGCTGACGGTCATGGGGAACACCTCCTCTGTGTTCTGAGGCCTGCCTTCTCCGCTGCCTTGATCTGTGTGTGTCCTAGCCCCAGAGAACTTTGGAGAACATCACTGTGGGCCTAAGTTCCCATAAGCCACGAGCACACAGGCTGGGAGCAGCCCTACCAAGCTCTGCAGCCTCCTGCCAAGGCTGAGCATAGCCCCAGGGAAATTCTCTCCTGTGCTAATGCAGTGGCCTCCTCTCTGCTGCCTGCCATGTGCAGGGTTCTCTCCTGCCTCCCTCCACACTGTCCACTGGTGATCCAAAGAGCAGATACAGCCAAATCTTTTCTCTGATGTATCACCTTCCTAGCTGGGCCTACATAGCACTCAGAATCTGTGCTGGCCCACCCCTCCCCCTCTCTCCCTCTCCTCCCCACCCCTCCCACCTGGCCCCACCCAGGAGGCTCTCTCCCCTGCTCCCTGCTCTACCATGCTGAACCTACACAACCAAGCAACTTTCTCACAGCCCAGGACGTGAGCTTCCTTCACAGCTCCTATTTCCTATCTGGACCAGAATTTCTTTCTTTTTTGTTTAACGACTCAATTCAAGCAGTTGCCTTTGGCCTGAAGAAGCCACTGCCAGGAGAAAAGTCAATGGGGTGGGAAGCCACCTTCTCACTTACTGGGTCTTTCCAGGAACCAGAGCTCCCAAGCACAGAGCTCCTCGATCCCCATTCTCCCCCCACTCCACGTGTCTTCGGCTCACTCCTTGTGCTTCTTCTTGTGCTGCTGCTTCTTCTTTCTTCCCTCCCCCTCCTCCTCCACCTCCACCTCTTCCTCCTCCTCCTCCTTCTCCTCCTCCTCCACCTCCTCCCTCTCCTCCTCCTCCTTCTTCCTTGATGCCTTGCTGTCTTTTGTTGGGTTATCAGAGTCAGATGACTTCCTGTCTGGATGATTCTTTTTCTTCTTTTCCTTCTTACTTTTTCTGGAGGAATTTTTTGTGGGATCAGGCTTCTCAAATTCTGCTGAGTTTGCTTCTTCTTTCCCCTCTTCTTCATAGGGGATGAGAGCAAGTCTGGTCCTACCTGGCTGCATGAAACAGTCCTTTGCAAAGTAGCCTTTACAGCTGCACTTCTTGCAGGTAGTGTTCAGGACCACCTCAAGGGTGATCTTCTGCCCTGTGTAATCCTGGAAGGACTACTTCCACCTCTCTTCTTGCTCAGTGATAACATTGTTAGGATCAAGGTCTTTCCCAGTTCCTTGGTTGACAACTTTCATGGAAAGGGATACTTATATCCTATCATTTTTCATCTCTCAACCAATAAGCTTCACCCACACTTTGTCTCCAACAGCTACTATCTCAGAGGGCTTATCAACATGTCAACAGGATGAAATGTGAGTTCAATGGACCAGACCTTGCTTCTCACATCCTGAGATTTTGATAAAGGCTCCACAGTCTGTCACCATAGCAACCTCTCCTTGGAAAATCATGTAGAGCACAGCCAAGTTTTCCATGAGCTCAGCTCTCCCTGAATTCATCCTTAAGATTTTATGGCTCCTCCATTTCTCTTCTGCAAAAGCTAATACAAGGTGTCTGACTCAGCAACCGCTCCAAGTCCTGCAGCCACAGAATCCCTGGATTTCTTAACCTTCCAGTACTATTGACATTTTAGGCCAAATAATTCCATGATGTATGCCTGTGCACTGAAGTACATTTAGCATCCTTTCTAGTTTCTGCCCACCAGATGACCACAACATCCATCAACTGTAACAATAATAATGTCCCTAGATTTTATGTCCCCAAAAGGCAGCATCATCCTTTCTTGAGACCCACTGGTCTAGATGTTCCATAGTCCCAACCACTCCAGCTTCCCAGGACCTCCATGGCTTTCGCTTGTAACTTGTACATCTCCCAAGGCTTATGTGTGGAAGGCTAAGTCCACAGGCGATGGTGCACAGAGAGCAGCTCCTGGATCAGAAGATGCTGTAGAGATGTGGAAACTTAAGGAGGTAGAACCTCCTTAAGAGCAGGCCCTTGGAGGAGGATATAGAGATCCTGGCCTCTTGGGTTCTCTTCTTTCCTCTTCTCTCTCTCCCTTGCTTTCCCCCTCCTTCTCTGCCTCCATCTCTGTCTTTCTAGCTCTGTCTCTCTGTCTGTTTCCTATTTTCTCTATCCCTGCCTACCTGTCCCCAGAAGATAGATATTTGAAAGCCAAAGCCTCTCATTCAGGCCCATGCTATTCTAGAGACCTCCCCTCTCCCAGCGTCCCCAAGATCTATACTTTACCTTCCAGCATCCTGCTCTGTGCATCTGGCATCCACCACAGAACCCCTTGGAGCACAAGCAGGGACCACAGCCAGGGAGGAGAAGGAGGCCATCGTGGGTTTCTCGCTTCCTTCTCGTGAAGTTGCCACAGGATGGCTCTGGCCTTCAGCTAATGCTACAGCTCAGGGCCTCTCTCTGTGTCTGGGATTTGATAACTCTTTTTCCCATCTTCCTTTGGGCTTGAAAAGGTGGTGAGCTGCAGCCTACTGTGACCGGCCCCAGGCTACTACATTCTCCCCTGCCTTCCCAATAACCTGTCCACACCTTTATTAAAATCTTCTCAAAACTCCATTTCTGCCAAGACTCTAATGTTTAATTGAGATTCTGTACTACAAGCATTGAGAAAAGCCATGTTCACTATCTTGTTCTATCTACTTCTGTCTCTTTCCTTTTTTGTGGTAGAGTATCAATACTGGGGCTTGAACTCAGGGCTTAGACATGGTCCCTTAGCTTTTTAGACTAGTGCCCTACTACTTGAGCCACAGGTTGACTTCCAGCTTTTGGGTGGTTAATTTGAAATAAAAGCCTCATAGACTTTTCTACCTGGTCTGACTTCAAACTATAATCTCAGATCTCAGCCTCCTGAGTAGCTAGGAAGAGCCACCATTGCCCCCATTCACTTTCCTTTTTAAATTACATCTTTGGTCATAGGCAGGACAGTTACTATCACTTGTGCATCAAAAGTTAAAGTAAGCACCGAAATCAAGAAGAGCTCAGAAGGGACATCTCCAGTCCCTCCAGCCTCACACCCACCTCCCAAATGTGTGTCTTCACCAGCACAAAAGCCAGATTTCATACTGTTTCACTAATGAACCTATTAAGAATCAAGGCTCACCAGAGGTCAGACTTTCTTTTAAAAAATGTGAGAGAAAATTAAATATGGGAACATGCTGCCTATTGCTTTTCCTGTGGGACCCAAGTCCAGGCCTCAGATGTGGATTTTAAGAGCCAGAGATATTCTGTGGGGAGATGACATCAGCCTGCACTCAGAGCTCCCGCCTTTGTGGGCCCCACACCTGGAAAACAAGGCCTTCCGTGGGTCTTCCGTTCACTGCCAGGATAATGTCACCAGCTGCAATAGCCCCATGCTTCTCCGCTGGCTGCCCCGGGAAAAGCCTCTTGATCCTCACAAGGTCCTGCTGGAAGGGGCCACAGCTCGCTCTCTCCACATGCACGAAACTGAATCCCAAACCATTGGTATTCTTTTTCAGTTTGACTTCAAACTTAGGACCTGTATTATGGGATGTTGATTAGAAAAACCAACTTTCAGTAGGTTATAATCAGCCAGCCTCAACATGCAAATTGCCACAGAGATGAATTATTTCTGCATGGAATCTAAAGGTTTCATGTAAGTGTTGCATTAGCGATAAGTGCTGTCCCATGGATAAATAACATGAGCTGCTACAGGGTCCTTTCAAAGTTTTCACGTAACATTTTTAAAAAGCAAAAAAAAGTGGCAAAATAAACTTTAATCCTACATGTTACTTCACCCAATAGAGATCATTCTCAACTTACAAAGGATTAAATCCTGATAAACTACTCACAAGTTTAAAATGCTGTAAATCAAAAGTGCACTAACACAGGGCACCACTTGCTCACACCTGTAATCCCAGCTACTCAGGAGGCTGAGACTTGGGATAGATTGATGTTTGAAGCTAACTGGGGCTAAAAAGCCCAAGAGACTCATGCTGGAGCCATGATTCAAGTGGCAGAGCACTAGCATGGGCAGGCAAGCCAAGTGAGAGTAAGAGGCCTTGAGTTCAAGTCCTCTACTTGCACAAGAAAAAAAAGTGCATTCAATCCATCCATCCTACCAAACACTATGTCTCGTTTGCGCCTCTCACTGTCACTGCTCAGGCTCAATTGACCTCAGCACAGGTGACTAACCTAGTAGAAGATGAAGACTCAGAGTTTATAGTACAACTTCTATAGAATATATGTGGCTTTTACATCATTGTGAAGCTAAAAAACTATTGTTCACCATTCTGCTAGGAATTGTCAATATATAATATTTATTTTGATATATAATCATAGGAAAATTGTATGAATGAGATGCTTACCATTGTTCTTCTGAGCTAAATCATCGAACGCTAGAAAGTATCTTATCCATTGCCGCGTCCCAAATGCTGAACAACTGAACATGATAAGTGACTACCCTATTGGCAATGCATATATAGGCAGCCCATTCAATCAATATCCCATTTTAAACATACACAGCATGTTCTTAATATTGAGTAAAACTAGCATCACATATACAGTGCACTTGAGAACTCTAAATGTACTTTAGCATGCTCAGCACTAAATTTTCCATAATTAGACCCTGAGGACAACAATGGCCAACTCTCTGCGCAATGTTTTAGTTGCCATTATCTTTTCTTTTACATAGGACCAGGCAGTAACTTCAGGTTATCAAGGATGAGCACAGTCTTACATACTTCAAGAGTCTCATGTTCAGAAATGCCCCTGGGCCTCCCCTGGACTGTCTTCACCTCCTCATCTGGCAGTCAATCGCAAAACTTGGGCTTATAAACTGTCACTGGGGCAAGAATGGAAGTGGCTGGATGAGGTTTGTGGTGTGACTAATTTTCTCATTGCCATACCAGCCTCTGTGGCCCAGTTTGTAGTAAAGTTTACAAAGGTCCCCATTGGGGTGGGTGAAGGAGTGTGAGAGGAAGAAACAAACTTATTTTTAAGGACCAGGGACCCTTCCCTCTACCTTTCCTATCATCTGACCCTGTGGTCACTTTACATTCACTTTGTCTCAGGCCTCTGGTAGCAGGACCACAAAATCTCCATGAAGAGACTGAAATATGGCCAAGATCCAAAGCATGATTTACAATACAAAATCACAAAGGACATGCAGAGAGACAATCCACCAGAATATGTGTAATTATGACCTTCTAGACTGGTCATAAATTTTCATTTTTAAATGGTGCTAATATGAGACTAGAATCCCATAGACCATCTTTCAACCTACCTAATCAACCTTCAGATGATTTGTTTCCAAATATGTTAGTTGAAATGTAGATCCAATTATTTCTGAAAACATGCCCCTTTTGTGCCAATTTTAGCCCTAATACTTGTGCACAAACATTAACATTCAGACAGCTGATGTGAAAACTGAAAAAGGCTTGGGAGGGGGGTGGGCAGGGAGCAGAATTTTGCCTGACAATCATGTTGGGACAATGCCTTTGTTTTCCAGAAACATATTCCATCATCTTGGCTGATGATCATGAGCAATGCTGCTGACATTTTTTTGAGAACCCAAAGGCAACCTCCCTGCCTTTTGCTTTTGATTTGACAATTCAAAAGCAGCATGCAATGATATGACAATAGTAACACTCAATTCTGTCTCCTCTCACCATCTGTCACTGAGACACAGCTCGCAGGTCTGCCAGGCAGGGCTGTTACCAGGGAAACCACCGCACGTTCATCACCCATCCTCTCATTAGCAGAACATTGCTGTGCAACCCTGGGGCCTCTTCTCTCTAAGACCAGTTTGGCGACCTAGAAGGATGGTGGACAAACTCAATTTATATTTCATGTGTCAACCACTCCATTCACTCAGAAAATTGCTTCTTAATTTTATGATGCTCCCTATAAGCTATTTCCTTTGAATCTCAAACGAAAGTCTTCAATCTGGCCTCTGTAGGATCCAGACCTAGATATCCAATGCTCTTAGAAGTCACATGTGCTCCTCTGTGTCAGCAAATTCAGTGCCAACCCCACCTTCCTCCCCTGTTCCTTTCCCTCTTCCTCTTTGGTCCAAAATATCCATCCATATGCATTTGTTCCCTGAGACACAGAGCCACCCATCCACTAAACCACAGGTGCCATACTTGGAGTGGTTTAGCGCTCTACCTTCCTCCTTCTAAATACCCACTGGTTGTAATCCTGTGAGGTTACCTTATTAGAAACAACTCCTCCAGTGCTCTTTCCATTTCCTGTCCACACACTGCCCATGCTCGGCTGCACAGCAGCAAGCTCCCACTAGCTGGGTTTATTGGACCTTGCGTTGATTTCTGTTGGTCTACCCCCATTAGGACTACTGGTGGGTTGATCTAAGATGCAAATTGAACATGGAACACTCTGGGATAAAAGCTTCTACTATATCTCATGACTCAGTGTCATATTCTGGACCTCAGCCTCTCCTCTTCTTTCTGGTTTGACTTCTCTGCCTTCTTTCCTATAACAATATACATCTTTGTTACTCCAGTGAATCAAAAAACAAGTGGTTGACATTACTAGAAAGAGAAATGATAAGTTTCTGCTGGGTGATGGTGGCTCACATTTATGATCCTGGCTACCCAGGATGCTAAGATCTGGGAATCAAAGTTTGAAGCCAGCTTGGGCAGGAAAGTCCATGAGACTCTTATCTCCAGTTAACCAGCAAAAATCTTCAAGTAGAGGTAGGGCTCAAGTGGTAGAGTGTCAGCTTTAAGATGAGAATGATAAGGGATAGTGGCCCAGGCCCTGAGTTCAAGCCTTTGTAGAACAAGAAAACAAAAATAAAATATAATAAGCTAAAATTCAGAGGATTTTACCTTGCCTTTATTCTCTGCTGTAATTGTTGTCCACCACAGTCCCACAGTGTTGATGCCTATGTGTCATCATGCCAATATGCCAGCCAAGTGTCCTTTCTGGCCATTTCATTAATAAAGGTCTAATGAACAGATCATGCTAATACATTGCAGCTGTTCTCAAGAAATGTCACTCAAGTTCACTAAGACAAAAGAAAACTTACTTTGAAAAAGGAAGTGTAAAAAACACCAAAACTCTGCTGGGGAGTTTGCTGAAAGTGTCTTTAGCATCTTAACTGATTCTTGGCTGGCTCTTCAGTTACCAAGAGAGGGCCATGTTAGTTTTATGGCTTAGGACACTGGAGCCAGTCAGAACTCCTACACTGAGGCCGAAGACAAAACCCAGCATGATCACAGACCCAGTGCTGCATGGAATAAAACACATAATGAACATCTCTAGCTCTTAACATCCTTAATTTCTACCAGAAACAGCCCAGCCCATGCCTTCTGGTGGGTATAAACAGGGGGTGTGGGATAGTGACATGTACTGGGAGGTGGAGGTCATTGTGGATGAGAGCTGGAAGGAGAAAGGACCTGACAGCAAATGGGTAAGCTGGTCAGCAGGGTTAATGCAGGCCTGGGGGCACAGCCAGAGCCAGGATGAAAAAGCCACTGCCTTCTATCACCTCTGTTCTGCTGTCTGACTCCTCAATCTAGGCAAGCAACCATAAGCTTTTCAATGCTGTTTATAGAGCATGAAAGTTTCTGCTTGGAAACCTCTTTCTGCTACCTCGTGAGTGTCACATTCCTGTATTAAAAAAAAAAAGGAACAAAAAGAAAAAAGAAAAAAAAAAAAAATAGACAAAGAAAAAAGTATTAAGTTTCCTCTTTCCCACCCAGGGGCAACTGCAGCTTCTGGTGTTGTCTTCACAATCTCCTAAGAGGAAGGAAAGGTCCCTGTAAGGGAATCCTCACCTGCCCAGGACCTCTGAGACATTGCACAGCCTGCCTATGAGTGAGGCCACACAGACTAACTCCATCCACCTGCAGGAGACGGTCACCTGGAAAAGAGAGGGATAATATCATATCCCAGGCTCTGGGATTGCTGGAAGGGTTCTCTGGCAAGGCCCCAGGTCTGACCCTCCAAGAAGCTTCACAAAAGGACAGGAAGCCAAGCTGCTAGGTATGCCTGGGCTCAGCAGGAGACCTGCCTGGGTCTGATCGCTTGTGCCCTTCTTTCCAAGACATATGAGAGATCCATGATATGAAAGCCTTTCTATTATTGGCTCACAGGATGGCTAAGCCAGCTCTGCTTGACCTCATCTTTCCTCCTGCTTTCCTGTAAAACTATTTGTGAAAGTATTTTCAAGTTGTTCAGGGCTAATATTTATATCTTCAGGGTTTTTTTTTCTAATTTCCAAAAGGGTCAGGAAGGTAGTGATTGATGTTGGGGATACTTAAATACAAGGGAACATGGAAGTAAGATTCTAGGTACCTTTTTAGACTCAGTTCTGGCAGTTTTAAAGGATAAAAATCCATCCTTTAAAGTCGTGAGACATGATACAGGGCCAGCGAGAAGACTCCTATCTCAACAACTAGCACAGACCCTATACTGAAGTGAGATCACCAGTGCCAGCTCTGTCCCCACCCTAGAAAGCTGTATTGTCTCCCAGAAATCTTTTCTGTCATCTTCTTCCCAATTTGCTGCTATTAAGTTTACAGTTCTTCTGACCTATCAAGTGGGTAGGGCAGGTGAAATCCCTTCCTTGCTCTGGAGATGCAATGGCTTGGGAGGCCAGACTGGGCATGGCTATCTATCTATCTATCTATCTATCTATCTATCTATCTATCTATCTATCTATCTATCTATCTATCTATCTGTCTATCTGTCAGAAAGCAGGGAGAGCTCCCAACAGCTTCCATCCCTCACCCTGTAGGATCTGTCCTTCTTTGGCAGCTGGGCCTCCAGGAGTGATGGATTTCACATAGATTCCTCCATATAGCACACTTGTGTTAATGCCACCCTGTAAAACAGAAAGGAAAATTTATCACCCATCTACCCCTATTGAGGAAGGGAGCCTACCATCCTCCTGCCTGCCATCCATGCCACAATCTCATCTCTGTTCGGCACTATCTTCTATATCCACCTTTGTAGACTACCCTCTCCATTGAGCAATAAGGTTAGATCCTTCAGAGAGCACAGGAATAGAAGCTGAGACCTAGCCCCAGTCTATCATTGGCCCAACTGCCAGCACTCAATAACTAGTCATATAGAATGTACAAAACTTGTAAAAAGTAGCAACTGACATAAGTGGATTTACCTGTGTTTGTGGATACCAAAAATAGAATTAAACTATACAGTATTCTCTTAAGTTAGCAATGGATCAGTTAGGCATCTTATCCATCAGGTGAGATCAAGATCTAACTTGTTTTATCTTTTTACTTATTTAGACAAATTTTTAATCAATGAAATTATATCATTCCTACACAGTTGTTCTGCCTCCATCTCCCAAACTCACTGTAAGCAGCACAGTGATAACTGGTAATAGCTGGGAATCTATCTATGCCTGTCTACCTACCTGTCTGTCTACCTCTATCTGCCTCTATCTATCTTTACCTTTCTCCAGGCTCATATAATCATATGGAAATGGTTCAAAGGAAATCTGACTCTGCTTCAAGATGGACACCCAAAGCCTGTGTGTGAAAATACATACCTGTAACTCCAGTTATTCAGGAGGCAGAATCAAGAGGATCACAAGTTTGAGGCCAGCTTGGGCAGCTAGATTTTTCTCTCTCAAAAAAGAAGGGAAGTCTGGGGCATAGCTCAAGTGGTAGAGCACATACACAAAGTCTTGACTTCATACTGAACAACAACAAAAAGGACACTCAAGCCAGACAGCTGAATGACTTTTGTTGCTGTAATTTGGAGCTTGAATGACCCCCAGTATGTGAAAAACCTGATTCCCAGCTTGGTGCTATTGGAAGGTGGTGAAACCCTTAAGAGGTAGGGCCTCCTGGAAGGTCTTCAGGTCACTGTCCTCACGGTGACTGTGATGCCCTCCCTCCCCCTCCCTTGGAAAAGATTGTGACGTAGGCAGCTTTGCTCCACCATGTGATCCCATCAAGATGTGCCATCTCAGACCCAAATCCACAGATCAAAACCTCTAAAACAAGGAGTCATAATAAATCTTCGTTTATAAGTATTTCAGGTATTTGTTACACTGATGAAAAGCTGACTAACAAAAACCATAAAGGCCTGATGGAATGTTTTAACCCAAGATTCCTCTGAAACTAGACATCAGGCATTGCCGATGCAAAATTTCAATGTGACTACCATCAAGAAAGGGTAAACTATAAACCAGCTGTAGGTGTCTTGCCAATGGGCTTCAGGCTCTTTGACCCCTGCCTGTCTTCTGCTCTTGTTTATAAAACTTACTGACCTTGCACAAGCGTGATGCAGTTCTCCCTATTCAGTCAAACAGTAATTTTCATTTCAGACTCTGATTTCTTTTCTTGTTTTCAATGGCATTCAGTGTTTAACCCAGGGCCTGTCACTCTCCTGCTTGAGCCCTTTTGCCTTGATTCTTTTTTGAAAAAGGTCTTACGTGTATGCCAACCCAGACTACACTCTGTCTATTGATGTTTCCCAAATAGCTGGGATGACAGCTATATAATACCAAATCCAGCTATTGATTGAAATGGCCTCAATCCACAATCCCAGCCTTCCAAGTAGCTAAAAGGCACCAGCACCCAGCTATTGGTAGACTTTGTTTCTTAGTAAAAACTATAAATACTCAACTAGATCATGTGTTGCACAAAATAGGGGCTCATAGGCACAGTTTGCAGCATCTTACTTTCTTGCTCAATGTATTCTTCATTGACATCTTTGTAGGCAGCAAAAGCTAGCACTGATTTGGTTTTGGTTTTGGTTTCTTGTATTGGAACTGGGGCCAACTCAGGTTTTGGGTGGTGTCCCTTAGCTTTTACACTCATGGCTGACATCTACTCCTTGAAACACAGCTCCACTTCTGTTCTTTTTGCTGGTTAATTAGAGGTAAGAGTCTCATGGAGTTTCCTGGACTGGCTTGGAACCTCCATCCTCAGAATGCAGCCTCCTGAGTAGATAGAATTACAGACATGGACCACCAGTGGCTAGCATGATTCATCTAATGGCAGCAGTTTGATATCTATGAAATACTTGTGCCACAGTACAGGCAGCTTTTCCTCATCTGGTCTGTATTCATTTTTTGCCATGTATTCAACACTATAAGCAACACTGCATTACACATCTTCCCATATTCAGCCTTGGTTAATGGGATTCTTATTTCTGTTTCTAGGAGCCCAAGGCTATATGCATTTGTCATTATAACAAACTTCGCCAGATTGCATCCCAGTGTGCAATCTGCATATAATTAATTACTCACATTTCCCCCAGCTTCGTGTGACAGTAGCCTTTTTCTGCATCCCACCGCTATATTTGGCCAAGCTTATAGTTTCCTTTTCATTTAATTTGTATTCCTATGTATCTGAGTGTCTTTCATTTATTTGATGGCCATCCATATTTGAATGAGATGTTTCAATAATTATTTCTGAAATTAAATTTCTCCAAAGAATCAAAGTTTTATGCCAGTCACTGATTTCCTCTTACCATATATATATATATATATATATATATATATATATATATATAAAAAGTTTTTCAGATGAGAAATAGCTATGGTGTCTGATAGAGCTGCTACTCCAAGCCAAAAATAAATTGTCCATCTTGTTCCTAGCTTGTTCACCCCCTGAGTACTCACAAGCCTTATTTATTTTTCTTTCCTTTTTTCTTTATTTTGATGCCAGTGCTGAGGATTGAGCTCAGGGCCTTTCACTCTCACGTGGCTTTTTCAATGAAGGCTGGCACTCTGCCACTTGAGCCACACCTGCAGTTCCTGACTTTTGCTGGTTAATTGGAGATGAGTCTCTTGGAATTTTCTGTCTATACTAGTTTGATACCTCAATCATCAAACCTCAGCCTCCTGAGAAGCTAGGACTATAAGCATGAGCCACTGGCGCCCAGCTTTATAAGCCTCATTTCTTGATGCTTAAAGTCATCAGCTAAGTTTAGTGAACGCTAATGATCCTGCCATCAGGGATCCTGATGCAAAACTTCAATGTGACTACCATTAGGAAAGGGTGAACTATGAATCAGCTGCAGATGTGAACCAGTCTTGCCTTCTTTGATGGGTTCTTTGCCCCCTGCCTGCCTAGTGCCTTCTGCTCTTGACAATAAGGCCTTCTGCTCTTGTCAGCACATGGTATTATTACATATAAAAGCAAATAATTAGCCAGGTGCCAGTGCCTTACACCTGTAATCCTAGCTACTCTGGAAGCTGAGATCATGGTTCAAAGCCAACCTGGGCAGAAAACTAATGAGACTCCTTTTTTTTGGGGGGGGGTCTGGTCGTGGGGCCTGAACTCTGGGCCTGGGCACTGTCCCTCAGCTCTTCAGCTCAAGGCTAGCACTCTACCACTTGAGCCACAGCACCTCTTCTGGCTTTTTTTCATTTTGCTTATGTGGTGCTGAGGAATCGAACCCAGGGCCCCATGCATGCAAGGCAAGCTTCTACCACTGAGCCACCTTCCCAGCCCCTAATGAGAGTCTTATACCCAATTAACTACCAAAAAAAGCCACAAATGGAGCTGTGGTTCAAGTTGTAGAGTGCTAGCCTTGAGCAAAAAAGGACTCAGGGACAATCTAGCCCCTGAGTTCAAGCGCTAGGACTGGCAATTGAAAAAAATACCACCCATACCCCAGTCCTCCTATGTCTTGGGTTTGTTTGGGAAGTTTCCATTGACCTTGACATTTCCTTGCCTGTTGCGAGATTCTCTTCTCTTTCCAATCAACTGAATTCCACAATGCCATCCCTGAAATCCAGGCCTCTTCCAATGTCTCAAGGGAATGGGTATTTTTCCAATGCTCGATGAAAAGTACAGTACTTCCCAACCTCTTCCCCCATTCTCCATCCCAGGGAAATCACATTTACCAGGGACTCTCCCTCCCAAGGGGTCTACTAGGTAGAATTCAGAAGCCAAATGTAGGATGCCAGTCTAGGCAGAGATCTCACAGAAAGGTAGAGCACAATGTTCCACTGGGATCTTGTTTGAGATGATAGTGGATCACCCCATTCACCACTGGCTGGTGTCCCTGACACCCCACCTTGCTATTCTTTTCTTACCATCCAGTGTCATCTGAGCAGAGACACCTCACAGTTCCACCCATACAACCCTCTTCACCCTGCAGCATTTCCTCAGCTCCTAGTCTGGGCTCAGCCTCACCCTGCCACCTCTCCATACAACCCTCTTCACCCTGCAGCATTTCCTCAGCTCCTACTCTGGGCTCAGCCTCACCCTGCCACCTCTCCCAGTTTGTCCTTGAGTTCCTACACCCCACAGACAGCAACTCAGCGGCTTTCTTGATTCACCTACTTCCCATGTGCCCCCTGTACAGTAACACATGATCAGAGTGGAATGCCCATCAAGATGGACATCATTAATTGTTTCCCAACCAAGCGCCACCTTCACCCCCCTAACAGTTCTTACAGTCACACTGAAGCCAAGGGTTCCATCTTCCTTCACCAGCTCCACAAAGTAGATTTCACCAGCATTGGTTTCTGGAGGTGATGGAGGACAAGAAGAACCGACACCCTATCCAGATAAATAAACAGAAAAGGAAAAAACATAAGGTTTCTCTAGGCTCTCAGTTGGAGTAGACAGCACAGGGAAGGTTTCCACAGGAGCCTAGCTGCTTAGTTTTCGACCCCAGTTCTACTAACCCAGGGAGACGATGGCATTATTATTTTTTCCTCTCCATGCCTCAAGTGTCTCACCTCTGAAACACGTTCACAATAGTAACTCTCTCCCATGAATCTCATGGATGACATGTTCAGTACTGTGAGACACAGAGGCAACTACTCAAAGCCAGCTATTCTTATTCTTCTTTGCTGTCCTTGTGCACCCAAATCTTTTACACAAGATGTTGTTCAATGATCACTGTCCACCTAGGAAAGCACCGACAGCAGGGCCCTAGAGAATGTCTGAAATCCTAGCTACTCAGGAGGCTGAGATCTGAGAGCTGAGATTCAACTCCAGTCCAGGCAGATGAATTCAAGAGATTATTTTCTCTAAACAAGTCATAAAAGCTAATGATACCTGTCTGGCCTTTCCCTGGAGGGCCTTTGCCGTAGGTCCTCACATGAAAGGTACCCTTACCTCCAATGACTGAGGGACGCAGGAGAAACTGAACTAACAGGCCTTCACTAAATGCCTCCTAGCTGACTCATGCCCCTTTCTCTAGGGTTCTCTATTAATTATCAAACCTACTATAATACATACTTGAGCTTAACTATTGTTTCAGGTATTTATTTCCTTATGACAGCTCACATAAAACTTACATTCAATAAATATGTTTTTCTTCTTGTTAATCTAGTTACAAAGGCCCCATCTAAGAGACCTAAAGTAGATACCCTGGGGACAGCACGGCCCAGTGGGCAGGAATCACTGTCTCTGCTTGTATAAAGGGAAGGTAAGTTTGAAAGGTTATGGAACAACTGGCCTGTTTTAATTAGATCCCCAGAAACAATGAGAAGGTATACACACTGGACCTGGGTAAAGAAGAGGGTTAAGGCAGGTCTGCCTTCAGAGGTACTGGCAGCCTTTACAGAAACTATGGAGAGCTAAGCACCTGGGGTAGAAACAACATAGCTGTCATTAACTGAACCTTATGCAAGAGGAGCAAGTAGGTGTGGAACCAGGAGAGTCATTCCAGGATAAGTACCACTTGATAGTAATGATGCCCACCAGAGGACATACCCAACCATTCACCCTACCTGTGATCCAACTGCATGCTCCTGCCAGGGCTGAATCAACCAAAAGAATGAGAATTGACACAATGAGTGAATGTCAGCTGCAGGGGACCAGAATATGGGCTCTCCCACCCAGTGTCCAAGAAGACAGTGAGGGTGGTGTCCTTGGGACACCGTGGCTGGGTTTGATCTTCTGCCTTCATGGGATGAAGGTCCTGTACAAAGCAACTAAGCTCCCAGATGAAGCCCAATCATAAACTAAGAAGATGTTGAGTGGCCTCAGCCCTGCCCTTGGCATCCATCCTTTTCTTCATCTTGTCATAACCAGTAGCAATTACTGGTCCTTGGTGACTAAGGTCATTAGAGGCTCCTACGGTGAGGCATGTGGCCTCAACCCTGGGCCCAGAGAAGCTGAAGGCCAGTGAAGTTAAGTAGGCTGCCTGACATGGCACATCAAGAGCACAGGCCTTAGGAGCTGGGCTGGACTCCACAGCGTTTTTATTTTCTACCAAATTCAAGACTCTGAATCAAGGGTATGGTCACCTTTGGAAGAGGGGACAGTTCAAGCCTCTGCCTGGGGACTGGACTTAGCACCCGAGCCATTTCCAGTCCTCCACGACTTCTGTTTGGGTCTTCTGTATGTAATGACAAACTTCCCTGTTGATCGCTGCTCAGGATGTCTGCAGAGAGGATTCCAGAATTGGCTGGGCTATTCATCTCTTCACTGGTGATGTTTCCACAAATACCTATGAAAACAAGATAAGATAAACTCAACAGTTTGAGAGGCTGGCATATCAGTGGCATCATAAGTGGGGCACAAAGTTATCCTTCAGTAAAAGAGATGCCCTTCATAGTTGCAGAGAACAATGTGAGTATAGCAATTCATGGAGGATATTCCACTTAGAGTCAAGAAAGGGAAGATTTTGGATATGATTCAGAAACCTAAATAGAAGTCATTCATGTGGCTCAATTGTGGAAAGGGGAGCAAGGAGAGTGAATAATGCCAGCTTCCTTTATGAAGCTCTCGTCATATGATGAGAGAGAAAGAAAAACATAAAGGAGAGGCATAGATCTTTCAGCCTTCTCAACAGGCCACCAGGAATGTAGCATCCAGGTCTAACAACAGGAAATGGTCAACAGGATAAGACTCTCGACCCCCTCCCTTCATGTCCAGCATGTGCTGCTGCACTGAACTTCCATTTCCAAACCCTGCGGTTCATGGCTGTAGACAGTATATGATTCAAAGGCCCATGTGAGAGTCCTTGGACAGGAGTTGGTAGACTCCTGTGGGTGAAAGTCACCTAATTCTGAACCTTGACTTGGTATAGAACAGAAAAAAATACATAGAACCTTGGGCAAAGTAGCGCACATTTCTAGATCTCCATTTCCTTATGCTTAAAATAGAAATGATGCAAATGTCAATAATATTGTAGGGTTAATGAGGTTTAGAGATTATTTCTAGAGAGGGGATTTATATAGAGGTAAGGAGATAAAGATATGTGTGTGCACATACACACTTTCACACACACATGCATAGACAGCTTAGCATATATTAAGCAATAGTGTATTTACTGTTGATAAGTCAGTATGCAGAACAAATATGTGTTAGAAGAATACATAATAGAGTATCTTTAGGCCTGGTAGCAAACCGTCCAGGTAGATTTACTATTTCATACAAACTCATTAGCACCCTGGGAAGTACGCCAAATCATGTATTGAATGAATTTGATTTGAATGAATTTGACTTAACAAAATTGGTTATTCAGTTCTAAAGATATTCAGTAGGGATTGGGGAAACCATTCTGTAATGCCATATTTCTAGCCTTTTTCTTCATAGTGTCCACTATCACTGTCTTCCCAGTGATGTTCTAGATGTCTCTTCATTTTCTTCCACATCATTCAAGAGAGACCAGGATGGGACCTAGCATCAAACTAAAAAGGTCAAGCTGTGCAACTGTTTCCTGTCCAATGAAGCAGAAGCCACTGAGCTAGTTACCTAGGAAACCAGGAAGGATGGATAAGAAGGCAGGGGCTGCCTCCTGAATCTGCCACCTCATTGACTACAGGGCCAGCTTGTAGCTCCAATCTAGGAAGCAGGAAGGCTAACGTTCAACAGGATACCAGCTCCAGAGAAAAAGACAGGGTTGTCTGAGCCTAGAAGGCCACATGGTGTCCATCTAGCAGCCAAGAGGGGAACAGCAGGTGAGCTGCCTGAGCATCAGCCCTTCTGTCCATGGTCATTGACTATCTGTCAAATGTCTGTGGTGCTGGGCCTCAGTCTCCCCAGAGTGCCATTCCTTATAGCCCAAACTGCAGAGGAATTTTCTTTTTTCTTTTTTTTTAATAATTCCTAATTGAGATTAAGTGATTACATAAGTTTCACAAATTTCATAGTATTGTGGGATAGTGATACTTAGTTAAAGTCACAAACACAGTTTAATCTCCATGAGGCAAATTGTCATTATCATGGTCTATAATTTAGTGAATTCTATGAGCTTTGACAATGCAACTATTTCTTCCATATCAGGTTATATGAACATTTCTTTCCTTTTGCTTAGCTGTTCCCTCTTTCCCTCTCATTCCCTCCCTCCCACTGCTGCTCTTGAATTGCTTAGGTTGTTTTCATCCATGTCCAGTGCAGCTGATGGGCCCTTCTGTTGTATATTTTCCCATTTCCCTCTGATTCTGTGCCCTCCCCGTAGCTTCATCTCTTCAAGTCTCTGGGCCAGCCTAGTTCTGCCAAGAGCCTGAGCAACTCAAAACCTTGAAGAATCCTCATGGAATTCTGGGTTCTTTACCCCCAAGTTTCTCAGGCTATTTTGGCTGAAGGACATACTACTCCATTTAAAATTCATAGGCACTTTTCAGCTTTGCTGTCTGAATAAAAAGGAACATTTCCTCTTTAGACACAATCAACTTGGAACTGCTGTTTGGGGCCAGGGGAAGACAGGAGCAGGCCAAACCCTTGTCCATTCCTGCCTGAACCTGCCCCTTCATCTCAGATGGCTGCCAATCAAGTGTTACCCTCCCTGACCCTGAGGGAGTCAGGTCCTCTTCACTACTTAGGAGCACGGCCTTTGTTACAGTCCAGGTTCCTTTGGAAACTGTCACTGATGGAAGAAGTGGTTTCCATGGTGACTCTGGCTGGTCTTCCAGGCACAGACTTGACTACCATGAATCTGTACCTAGTTTGACTCCTGCTGAGGTGACCGATCTAGATTGCAGGTCAGGGACTAAATAGATAAAGCCTGTCAAGAACAGCCAGCAGAGTTTACCTCTTCCATCAGTGGCAGTTTCCAAAGGAACCTGGACTGTGACAAAGGTCGTGTCCCCAGGTAGTAGGGAGGACCTCCTGCTGAGAAGCCCTGTCATCCCCAGATATGTGAGGAACCCACTATCTGGAATTCTTACCACTTTTTTAAAGTTCTTTTTCCCTTTTTTTTTCAATTGTGACTATAAAGATGATTTACATGGTGGTTACAGTTACATAAGTCAGGTAAAGAATACCTTTCTTTTTGGACAGTGTCACCCCTTCCCTTGCTCTCTCCCAGTTTTACATCTTCCCCTCCCCCCTTCCCACACACAAGTTATGTAGTTCATTTTCAACAGAGTGTCTAGTGAAGGATACCTTTTTTAATGCCTCCTCCCCATCACAGCAGGCTATTCTTGGACTTCACTGCATTGGGAGTTGATCAGCTGTATTATGTTTCCTTACAACACAAGGAAAATGCCTTGCTATCTAACACAGAGCCTGAGGGCAGTACAGTGAATGCGCAGGGGCTGGCCACTGGGCCTGTACTCTCCACTCCTCCCACCCACCTTCTCTCTATTCCCACCAACCCATTAATTCCTGTCTGGGCAGCTGTAATGCCTGGGAAGGCCAGCTTGGGGTGGGGTGTGTAAACACATGAGTGAGGGGATGCAGGTGGCATTTTTCTCCTCAGGGCATCACAAGTAGATAGGCTATGATCAGACTTGATGCCGAGTTTGCAGACAGTCCCCTGAAGCTTACAAGACCACCCAGCCAACATGCACAGGTGATCCTGGATAACTGAGGAGTGAAGATGTCAACCTCCCCTCGTTCCTCCATCCAGAGCCCAGACCTTCCCCAAATCAACACAATGATGTCATTCTTTTAGCAGTGGTTGCTCCCTTCTTAGCTAACGGATAAAGAAAAATGCCTTTCAAAAACAAAAACTCTATTCCTGGGGATCTATAGCCCACCCTACATGCCAACTTAGAACTATATAAGAACAGTACCAGGTACCAGTGACTCATACCTGTAATCTTAGCTACTAAGGGTTTGAAATCTGAGGATCGATGTTCCAAACTAGCCCTGGCAAGAAAATCCATGAGACTATTATCTCCAATTAAGTGCCAAAAAAGCTGGAAGCGAGTGGATCTGTAGTTTAAGTGGTAGAGTGTTCCCCTTGAGCAAAAAAAAAAAGCTAAGGGACAGTGCCTTGCACCTGAGTTCAAGCTCAGGCACGCACACATGCACACATGCACACACGCACACACGCGCACACACACACACACACACACACACACAGAACAGCACATTTTTCTGTACTAATTCTGCTTCAAGGTTCAAGGTCATTTATCTCCTTCCAAGGGGGACAACAGACTATTCCACCTAAGCCCAAAACATAGAATTCTGACTTTCAGTAAGGCTCAGGTGACAATAAAAATGTCATGCAAAGCGAATGAGCTGAAACACACATAGTGGTTAATATGAGAATAGCAGTCTTTTCTGTCAGAGGTATCTTAAACTAGTTCCAGTGCTAGTTTCTTTTGGATTCTTGCTAAACCCCATTTGCCCATAAAACTTGCCTACAAATATGTAAATGTTAGCCCCTCCCCTCTTCACTGGTATCAGATTCTAGCCAGTCACCAGCAGAGTATGACCCTGAGCTTTGCCAATCCAAGCAGACGGGAAGGGCATGAGAGACGGAAGCAGGCTGGCTGCTCCTTGGCTTGCTCACCTGACTGGCTGGTGGCACACCCTTCTGCAGAAATAAACTTTGCCTTACTGAGCCCCTATCATGTTGATATCCTTAGTCATACCTGACACCCCAATATACTGGTGCATTTCTAACATTAATAAAAAGTTGGAATAGTGCTGGGAAGGTGGCTCAGGGGTAGAGCGCTTGCCTTGCATGCATGAGGCCCTGGGTTCGATTCCTCAGCACCACATAGGCAAAAAAGAAAAAAGCCAGAAGTGGTGCTGTGGCTCAAGTGGTAGAGCGCTAGCCTTGAGCTGAAGAGCTGAGGGACAGCGCCCAGGCCCAGAGTTCAGGCCCCATGCCAGACCCCCCCAAAAAAGTTAGAATACATGGCCACCTTTTACCAGGGCATACAGTCATAAAGCCTGTTCTATCCACACAGTTGCCCAAGGCATTGATTTGTGCAATGACATTGCCACTTTGTAAACTACAACCAGGAGGCCAGCAACATAAAAGCCCTTCAATAGAGCTCAGTACCCCCATGGTAATAAGCACCCCTGAAAACAGACAACACTGCTGAGTTTCTGGAAACAGGCTGAATAGTACCTTTGGACTGTGAAATTATTAATTCTATGTTGTCTGGAGAATTTTGAATCATTCTGACAGCCATGTTGAATGTGAAGCCCTCCAGGCTGATATGATTCAAAGCCAGTATCTGCCCTCCTGGAAAAAATAAGATATCTCAGTAACTCCAGCAAGAAAACAAGAAAAGGATTCCTTTAAACAGTGTCTCTAGTAATTTACTAAGATTACCTGGTTTGATCTTTTTAGTTTTTTCTGCTGGCCCCCCTGGAATAATAGAGGATATGAAAATACCAGGGTTCACTTGACCCTCATCTTCTCCCTCATTAATGACAAAACCTGCAATCAAAATATATAATAAGATCACGCTTAATGACTGCAATTCAGAGAGGTTAGCTACCAACTGGTATTGCCATTTGAATATGGGTAGATTGTTTCCTTTAGCCATTAGATCACTGGAAAAAGTATTGCTCTCTTCAGCAACCATGACTAAAGCAACCCAACAATTTTAACTAGATTTTGTTCCAGGACAGAATCAGAGATGGAAAGGAGATTATTTTTAATGAAGTATCTCATCTTGTTTCTTGTATCTTGTCTCAGTGATTTTAGATAACAGGTGAAAAAGTTTGGCTAGTCTTTCCTATCACTGAGAATCTACATATACTAAAGAAATGTTTTCCCGTGCAATTAGGGGTCTACATTGGGGCCTGCAAGGAACCCTTGGTCTCAAAGTCTCATTGCTCTTAATGGACACTTAGAGAGAGAGACAGAGACAGAGACAGAGAGATAGAGAGAGAGAGAGACAGGGACAGAGACAGAGAGACAGAGAGAGACAGAGACAGAGAGAGAGAAATTGAGAGGGTGAGAAATGTAGAGAGAAGAGGGAGAGAAGTGATCAGTGAAAAAAAGACAAATTGGGAGAAGAGGTCAGAAAAGGGTAGTAGAAAAGCTGAAAGGAAAAAGTGGCATCCTCCTCCCCTGCTGATCAGGGGAGATGGACTCACCTGCAGGGGGTGCTCTTACCAAAACCACGGTGTGGATCACGGTTCAGTGCCACATGAATGATTTCTTGACCAGGGTCTGCTGTAGAAGTCTCTCTTCTGTTATTCTGTGGCCCTAGAGGTGGAGTCAAAGCAACAATTATTCTTTGCATCCCAGATTATTAATATAAAAGGAGAGAACAATAGCACATTATAATACACACACACACACACACACACACACACACACACACGTACACACCTAAAAGTAAACATAGCTCATAGGGAAGTTTCCAACAGCAGTGTGAGGGTCACTGAGCGCACACTTCCAGGATCCTCACTGGGTAGGTGTAGGTCAAGTTTTGAGCTGTCAAAGCAGAGGCCTGCCCAGAGTAGGGTGCTTTAGTTAGGCCTTTTATTTTAATCTTATATTGGACTTGGTACAAGATGGACAAGATGAAGGATGAGCAGAACATACTCACTGGCAGTACAACTTAATACAGAGATGAGACGACAAAATCTTCTTCATTTGGCTCCCCACAAGACCATGTGTTTAAGGCTTGCTGGCCAGCCTCTGGTGCTGTTCGGAAGTGGCAGAAATTTTAAGAGCTGATGCCTAATGGGTAGGAGTTAGGCCACTGATGGTGTGTGTGTGTGTATGTGTGTGTGTAATGATCCTGGAGCTTGATTCACTCAAGGCTGGCACCCACACCTCATCTTCTGACTTTTTGCTGGTTAACTGGAGTTGAGTTTTGGATTTATCTGCCTAGGCTGGCTTTGAACCGCAACCCTCAGATCTCAGCTGCCTGTGTAGTTAGGATTACAGGCTCTCAGACTTTTTTGAGAGCATCTGGAAGGAGCTACTGAGACTCCAGCCCCAGTCTCACACCTTGCATAACAGCTGCCATGAAGTGAGTAGGCCTTGACTATGTGTTCCTACCATTGTGTACTGGGCCACCCCAGGCCCAAAGCAACATGACCAAGTGGCCATAATACTAAACCTCTAAAACTATGAGCCAAAAGAACTCTTTCCTCTTTAAAAAAAAAACAATTTTATTGTTATTATAAAGGTGATGTACAGAGGGGTTACAGTTACATCAGTCAGGTGAAGAGTCCATTTCTTTTTCGATAATGCCACCCCTTCCTCATGCTTTCCCAGTTTCTTTCCCCTTTTTAGGTTGATTTGTCACAGGTGTTTTGTTACAGTAATAGAAGGTTGACTAACACATGCATCCACCTGTCAGGATGATAGGGGCCAGCAGCCCAACCTGGCTCTCCTAGAGCATTTTCTGAGCATGGGTTTGAGAGGAAACTCAAAGCAGAGCCCTAAAACAGTGCCCAGTGAGCAGGATGGGGATCCACTACCAGAGTTGTTACATACACACACACAGTCATACACACACAGACACACACACACACACACAAGGACCATGGGAGCATCTGGCAGATTGGTAACAAAAGATAGTGGTATTCTAGAACCAGCCCCCAGATCTGGTACTTGTCAAGTATATGTATTTTGCCTAGTTGTGGAGTCTTATTTGTCCTTATTTTCGACTGAGAACTCGCCAGGAGAGAGACGTTTTGGGCCTGTGAGGAAAAGCTTGATGGAAACAGATGGTGTATTTTTCTAAACTCACTGCTCCATCTTCCTTATGACCAAGCACTGGAAATCACCTGACCAAAGCCAATTCCTCTCAGATCCACATACCAGCTAGAGCTAGATATTGATTAGGACCACTCATTCCAACCCTATATCGCTTGAGAATAATTTTAAAAGCAAAAAGATTGTGAACAACCAGGCACCAATGTCTCATCCCTGCAATCCTACCTACTTAGGAGGCTGAAATCTGAGGATCAGAACTCAAAGCCAGTCCAGGCAGGAAAGTCATGAGACTCAGCACCCAGGTCTGAGTTCAAGCCTCAAGACTAGCCCCACAAAAAAACTACAAGAATTATGAGGATTGGAAAGCAAACTGAAGTAGTGGTAAAAGATTAAAAGTTTGCCGGACGACGGTGGCTCATGCCTGTTTTAATCCTAGCTACTCAGGAAGCTGAGATCTGAGGATCATGGTTCAAAGCCAGCCCGGGTAGGAAAGTCTGTGAGACTCTTATCTCCAATAAACCACTAGAAATCCAGAAGTGGCGCTGTGGCTCAAGCAGTAGAGTGCTTGCCTTGAGCTGAAGAGCACAGGGACAGGGCCTAAGCCCCAGTGTTCAAGCCCCACGACTGATAAAAAAAAAAAGATTAAAAGCAAGCATCCTATATAAGGTTTACTTAACCATAAATTTGTCATGGTTTATTCCATACCTGTACAGACATTCTGAACAAGTGACCTAGAGAGATGGCCACAGGTAGTTGGCTTCTGGATCAAACAGTTGGTGTCTGGCTGCTCCTGGTCAGTGTGGGGGCTGCAGGAAAAGGTGACAAGGTTAGATAAGGCCTCTTCATGGAAAACTCTTGTGTAATAGTTTGTATGTGTCATGGCCTGGGGAGGAAACCCTGGGTCTACAGACACACCCTACTGGGAGGCGTATGAGGAGGGATGGCTCGAAGGTCTTTCCATCTCCCAGGGCCATTGCAGTCACCATACCTCATCAGAACAATCCACCCATCTCGCTGTCCACTTTTGGATTGGATATACAAGTGCTGAAGATCTCCATTTCCCCAACCATGAGATTGAAATAATCTTCCTAATTCCAGGTTTGGAATGGCATCCAAAGCAAGCCATGACCATAGATTGTAGAGTCTTGATGTTTGTATGCTCTTCCTTGCTTTTAGCCAAAGGTCCTTAGCAGGTACTCCAGCATCCCACACATGCTGTGCCCCACTGGGCACACTTGAACACACACACACACACAGATCAGGAAACTTTCATGTAGGCACACATGGTTAAAGGTATAGTGCTCTGGATGTGGTTTATCCCCCAAGGGTTCATGGATTGGATGCTTGATCCACAGTGGAGTGATCAGGCAGCGGGTCCTTTAAGAGGTGGAGCCCAATGGGAGCTAGTCAAGTCACAGGCACACCCCTTTGCAAAGGATTAAGTAGTCCTCTGAGAACAAGTTATTTAAAAAAAAAAAAAGCAAGATTTATCCCATCTTGAGAGTTCTTGTCCTCTTCTGAGAGCTCTCCTTTTCACATGCATCTCCACCACAATACCAATTACCGAACGTTGAAGCCGCCATGGGCCCCACCAGATCAACACTAAGCCTTTGTACATTCTACCTTCAAAACTATGAGCCAGCTAGACTTGTGTGTGTGTGTGTGTGTGTGTGTGTGTGTGTGTGTGTGTGTGTGTGTACTGGTACTAAGACTTGAATTCAGGGCTTTGGTGTTATCACATAGCTTTTGTGCTGACAGTTAGCACTCAACCATTTGAGTTTCTTTGGGCTTTTGGGTGGTTAATGAGAGTCTCACAGACTTTCCTGCCTGAGTTGGCTTCAAATCGCAATGCTTAGGTCTCAGTCTCCTAAGTAGTTAGGATTGTGGGTGTAAGCTGTGGTGCCCAGATTAAACCTTTCTTGTTAAGGTACTCAACCTTATTTAGTTATAGCAACAAAAACAGACTAACACATGCTGCATAGTACTAAGTGAAAAATGTTATAGGCAGAAAAAAAATGTTGAATCAAGGGTCAGCTTGCATACTAATGGGTTATATTCACAAATGAACAAGTGAGCAAATGAACAAGTGAACAAATGAGCAAGAAGAAGAGAGAAAGCTACAGATGCTCAGAGCCCTAGAAAGAAAAGCCAGCATTGGACCTCCAGGCTGATCAGTCATCTGATCAGAGTCCCCTCTCAGACCACTACTTAGGCAGGTGAGCTGTAGCAGGGAATGCTGGCATGGGTAGCTTCCCATGGACCATCTTATGCCCTGGGAACAGTTATGTCAGTGATGGGACCGTGTAGCTAGGAACTCCTCAGAGGGACGAACTAACTGAACAGGCAAAGAGAGGATCATCATCAGGGAAAAGACACAGCTTCCAAGGACATACTTTTAGTGCTTTGCTTCCTCTACTAGTCCCCTCTTCCTAAACTTTCCAGAGCCTCTCAAATAGAACGACCAGCTAAGGAATAAACTCTCCAGTGCATGAGCCTTTGGGGGAGGGAGACACGCTTTTTATCCAAACCATATCAGAGGTCCTGAAGTCAACGTGCCCAGGAAAGGGGATATTGGACCCCCAGTCCCTTCCTCTTTCTGCCCCACCTTCCAGCAAAAGAATTGGCTTTCTCCATCTCCTTCCTCTGCCATGATGTATGTGCTTGCCATAGGCCCCAGAGGAACAGGGCCAATCGACCATGAATTAAAACATACAAACAGTAAAACAAAATTAGCCTTTCTTCTTTTTGAGCCAATTATCTTGGTTATTTTGTTACAATAAGAGCAAGGTAACACAAGTGTCCATGAGTCACTCATGGTTGTTTCTGTCTTTTAACAGTAAAGTGCCATTAGTTTGGGTGACAGATGAAAGATGGCCACAAATCTCTTGACATTCACAGTGTAAGGTGGCATCTATTTCTGTTCCCTCTGTGTCTGTGCTAACCTGAGCCTAATTTAACCAAAATACTGATGGAAATAGCCAACACCAGAGGCTCAAGCCTGTAATCCCAGCTATTCAGGAGGCTGAGATCGGAAGATCATGGCTCAAAGCCAGTCCAGGCAGAAAAGTTTATGAGATTCTTGTCTCCAGTTAACCACCAAAAAGCCAGAAGTGGAGTGGTGGCTCAAGTGACAGAGCAAGCCCTGAATTCAAAAGAAGAGAAGGAGGAGGAGAAGGAGGAGGGAAAAAGAAGGAAGAAGAAGAAAAGAAGAGAAAGAAACGCTTGCTGGGCTCCTGGAGCATGTAAAACCTCACTAGAAGCACAGCATGAAGAAAGCTTGACTACACTGTGAGGAAGAGAGGCCTACTAGCATGCTGTGTATCCCCGCCACTGACACCAAGGAGCTGAGCACGCAAGGAAAGGTGTCCTGGCCCTTCCAAACTAGTCAAGAGTACTGTCATGCTCCCAGTCAACACCATATTGTAGCAACAGAATGTCCCAACTAAGTTCTACCTACCTTTCTAACCTAGCAAACTGAAGTGAAATAGCAAAATGATTGATTGGCAGCAATAACTGCTCAGAACAGTTTTGCTTCCCCACTATTGATTGACTTTGCAGTGCACAACAAACCACATTTGCGTCCAGAGAATTCGGGCAATCATATTCTCCAAATGACTTTAAGGTATGTACATACATGCATGGATTTTAGTTCAGATGAATCATCCATATACTCTTATTGGAGCAGATGTATAACTCATACCAAAAAAAAGAAAAACCAGGCCCTAAGTCATCTGTTGCCTGGAAATCTGTTCTATTTATACAACTTGCAATGTCAGTGTAATCCAAGTTCTAGGCTATTTATAAATGTCAGGAACAGTGTATTATAATAGAAAGTTGCATTTGTGAGCTTGTTGTTTTCATATACAAATTTGAATGACAATTAGTCTATCAGATAGTGTGGTATCAAGGTTAGGAGTCTGGTCTTTTAAAGTTCAACTGCTTGTGTTTGAGTCCTAGAGCCTCGATTTTTTTTCCTTCCTGCAAAATGGGGAGAACTATATAAACCTACCCAGAGTCTTATGGGTCAAATCAGTTCATGTATACAAGTGCCTAGATTAGTATCTGTCTTCCAATAATTCCAAATAGACTTATTATAATTTCTTTATTTTGTCCTCTGCAATTCCCATTATCACTTAGCTTTGTGTTTTGTGTTGTATTGTTTGGGGGGTTTTTGTTTTTGAACTTTGTTATTTTTTCACCAAAGGAAAAAGAGAAATTTTTCCCTATAGCCTAGACCAAGCCTAGGGCTGACATACAGTAACTCTGGATATAGTTGGTAATGACTCAAGGACACTATACTTCCCTTAGGAATCTCATCCATTAACCAACTGCTTCAGGTACAGATGGATCTAATGTACCAAATGTCTGCTGGTCTGGGCTCAGAAAAAAAGATGAAACCCACCTGCCTCTGATTCGTGCCGTCCCAGTTTCCTTGCTGATTTCCATGTTGAAGTTTTCCAGCCATGGGTTAAGCTGGTCTCTCGGGGGGTCCTGCAACCTGGGTGCAAACAGCTCATTTTCTGAGCGTGACAGTCTCTGAATCCAAGTGAGAGCTTTGGCCTGGGTCTGGTATGCAGGACTCAGATTGGCCATTTGCAGAAACTTGTCCTGGTCTGAAGCGAGTGGTGAAGTGACAGACACATACATACACAAGATGACACTGGTTCAAGTTCAATTCCCCGTAGGGTAAGCAATATTCTCCAACCTTGGCTCTCCTCTCCCAGCTTTCTCTGCACTGCCAGGCATACTATTTTATTTTTATTTATTTATTTATTTTGTCTCATACCAACTAGGAGAGTTCGGTGATTAGCTCTGGGAATGCAAGTCATCCCAATTAACACTTGCTAATGAAAGATGCTTCGGAAACCTAAGAAGAGGCAAGATATGCCCTTTCCTCGTAGCTTGACAAAACCTGGAGCCAGGAGCCTGTTCCCCCTGCACAGCCCAAAGTATTCCTGGAGACCAGCTCCGGCAGACACCAGATAAAATTAGCTTCATACGCAGGCCTGCACCTGAGTTTACAGCTCTTTTCTCACAATGTGTCTTCTAACAAATAGGACTTCACACCTCCTATCTCTACACAGCATAGTTGTCCTGGTTATATTTCCTCATTTAAGAACCTATTTCCTGAAATATATGTGTGTATCAGATGGGGAGGTCCCTATCTCGCTTTTCCTGCAGAAAATTTAATAAGTTACTCTGGTCAGATCTTGAAATTGCAGATGTGAGGGACCACTTCATTGTTTATAGTATTCACTTTAAAAAATGAGCAGCTGGGTGGCTCATACCTATAATCCTAACTACTCAAGAGACTACGATTTGAGGATCATGGTTCAAAGCCAGCCTGGCCAGGAAAGTTTGTAACACTCTTATCTACCAATTAACTATATATATATTTTTTTTTGGAAGGGGGGGTCCTGTCATGGGGCCTGAACTCTGGGCCTGGGCGCTGTCCCTCAGCTCTTCAGTTCAAGTCTAGCACGCTACCACTTGAGCCATAACATCACTTCCGGCTTTTTTTCTGCTTATGTGGTGCTGAGGAATCGAACCCAGGGCCTCATGCATACAAGGCAAGCGCTCTACCACTGAGTCACCTTCTCAGCCCCAATTAACTATATTTTGTAAAAAGCTAGAGTAGAGCTATGGCTCAAGTGATAGAGTGCTAGCCTTGAGGAAAAAAGCTGAAGGATAGTGCCCAGGCTCTGAGTTCAAGACCCAGGACTGAGTCCAAAAACAAACAAAAATGGTATTTGATTAATAGATTGCTAAATTTAATAGAGACATTACAAAAAGCCAATTTTTATATTGTAAGCACCCTGCTTAAAACCAGGAAGGAAAGACCTAAGTGCAGGGTGCTCATCAGCTTGTTTTGTGTGTGTGTTTTGTGTGTATGTATGTGTGTGTGTTGTCTATGTCTGTGTATATAGTGTCTATGTGGGAGTGTGGTATGTATGCAAGAGGTGGCATGCTGTGGGGATGTGTCAGTGGTATGTGTAATATAAGTGTGTGTGTGTGTGTATGTGTGTGTGTGTGCCCACGTATTACATAGTACACTATGCCTCTACAGGAGGGAGATGGTGACACCTGAAGAAGTGTCCTACAACAGTATCTGTGCCTTTAGGGCTGTGCCTTTAAAAAAAATTTTTTTTTGCTGGGTGCCAGTGGCTCATGCCTGTAATCATGGCTATTCAGGAGGCTGAGATCTGAGGATTACAGTTTGAAGCCAACCCAAGCATGAAAGTCTCTGAAATTCATCTCCAATTAACCACCAAAATATCCAAAAGTGGAGCTGTGGAATGGTAGAGCATTCGCCTCAAGCAAAAAAGCCAAACAAGAGCAGGAAGGCTTGAGTTCAAGCCCCAGTACCAGCACCAAAAGAAGAAAGAAGAGAGAGCCAGGCACCAGTGGCTTGAGCCTCTCATCCTAGCTATTCAGGAAGCTGAGATCTGAGGATTGCAGTTTGAAGCTAGCCCTGGCAGGAAAGGCCTTGAGACTCTTATCTCCAATTAACGACCAGGAATCAGGAAGTGGCAGTATGGCTCAAAGTGGTTGAGTGATACCTTGAGTGGAAAAAGCCCAGGGAGAATGCCCAGGCCCTGAGTTCAAGTCCCATGACTGACAAAAATATAAAAGAAGAAAGAAATAAAGAGAAACAGAGAGAGAAAGAAGGAAAGAAGGGAGGGAGAGAGGGAAGGAGGAAGGGACAGAGGGAAGGAGGAAGGAAGGGAGGGAAGGAAAAGAAACCTTTTTCAAAAATTTGGTATAAATGAGGACACCATTGCTTGCTTACTGTTGGCAAAAGAGAATAGAGGAACAGAAGCCATCTGAATATGACCTGAAGGTTTCCACAAAGGTCCTAGAGCCTTACACTAGAATTCAGGTCTGTTCTGAAACAAGGCACACCAAAAACAGCAGCTGGTGTTACTGACCACATCTTATGTGACAGCCCAGTAGGAGGCAGACTGTCTACATTTTCTCACTTCATTCTCACCTACCCACCCAGATACTGTACTCATTTTACAGATGAGGAAACTTGAGACTAAAGGAGAACTGAAGTTTTATTCCTGGTCCTGAGGCCAGTAAGTGGTAGAGCAGGATTTCTACTGGAGTCTACTGACTCTACAGTCCATGGCAGACTATGGGTATGTTAAAGACATTGACCAAAACAGTTCAGCTGATGCCCCATAGCACACCCGACCTCCAGGGCCTGACTACATAGTGGCCTTGGAGTTAGTCATGGTAGATATGAATAGCCATGGGGAATTTCTAGGTAGAGACATTGAGACAGGTCCTCACCAAGAAAGGTTTAATGGTTTGAAGAGAGATTTGGGTTCTAGGATGGAGGGTGTAGAAGGGAGCAGAGGAGAAAGATTCCCAATGACCTGGGCTTGGGGAAGGATGATGTGGTCATCAGGACAATGTCAGGGAGGGAGGAGGAAGTCGGGGCAGAGGACAGGGGCCACATGTGTGGTCAGGAGAGAAGATCACAGTGTGAAGCCCTCAGCATCAGACTCCACCTGAGGCAAGGCACGGATGGGGTGGGGGGACAGGGCTGGTGTTCTTACCAGACTTTGGATATGTGGGGCTCTACTGGTGGACCAACCAGGGAGGGAAGATTTTGCCAGTAGGAAGGAGAGCCAAGAGCTGGTGTTCAGGAACAGAAGGAAGGGTTACCAAGAATGTCCCCCAAGCCACTGGCACATCAAAGACAGCACATAATACCTGTGCCCTGACTTTAGGTGCCTCACAGAGTAAATGTGGCATCAGTGAAGTAGCTGATGACTATCTGAATCTATCTGGACATCAAGGGTTCAGATCCAAGTTATTTACAGTGTTTCCAGCACACAGGAGACACCTAGGAGCAAGGAGCAGGGAAAGGGTACCAGGCAAAATGATGGACAGCTCCGTCACATCCACAGGGTACCACACAGCTTGGAAATCATCAGAAAGGATGAGGAAGCCTGTGGGGCCCTCTCAGCAGCTTTCCGAATTTAGTCCTGAAATTGTACACTCGTGAATAAAACGCTCAGTCATTATTCTTTCTCCCTAGAAATCCAAAAATAGCTATGCAATAATATGCTTGTTGCAACAATTCACAGAAGAAAAACACTGAGAAATGTTTGGAAAATATTCAGCTTCCCAACCATCAAAGAAGCACAAAATAAATCAACAGGAGGGGGTTGTTTTCACGTACCAAAGGAACAAAGAGACACAGGAGAATGGCTAGGCTGGATGCCAAGGGGCCAGGCACAGTCCTTCAAAGTTCCCTAACTCTCAGACACAGTAACTGTACTTTCAATGTCCAGTTTAACAAAATGATGTAAAATCTAGAAAAATATTCCTCCATTGACATTTGCTGTTTGCGAAACACAAACTAAATATCAAAAGAGAGGAATTATTAAGTATCTGTATTTCCACATAAAAATATTTTGGTTACCCATCCATCTCTCCACCACCATCCACCCCCCCCCATACACACACTCATCTTCCTGCCCATCAATCCATCCACAACTTACATCCCTATACCACATACCCATCCATCCATCCACTGCTACTCACAGATTCATCTATCCATCCACCCATACATACCTACACCAACCTACCTATCCATTCCTCCACCACCACCCACACACCACCCCTTCATCCTCCTCCCCACCCATCCATCCATTCACATACATACCTACACCCACCTACCCATCCATCCTTCCACTAACATTCACTCATTTGACCATCCATTCACCCACTGGTCTATCCATCCATAAACACATATCCCTATACCTTTCTACCCATCCATCCCTCCACCACAACCCACATACCTACCTATCCACCTATACACCCACTCAGAAAAAAATGCATTAAATATTTCCCATTTGTCCCATCTCTATTCCATAATAAAGGAGCTGTGAGGACTATGGAATGTTATACCTGCCTCTAAGGAATTTCCCATCTATCACAGACTGGAGATAGACATATGCACAAGTGAAAATGGCAGTTAGAGGACAGAAGTCTGAAAAAAACAGGGCGTGGTCCATTCCACCTGGAAAGGAGTTACCTTGGGGCAGCCAATCAGGAACCCCTACAAGAAGTTATCCTTAACTATGGAGAAGTGGGCTGATCTGTGGTCTATGCCTAGAAAGGATTTTGGTGCAAAATCATAGGTGGAGGTTGTTAAGCACAAAGACCCTGGAACCTAAGACATGCAGGTGTGTTAACAGCCAGCAGGATGGCATGCAGGACAGCTGGAGAACAGAGGGAAGAGTCTGGACATGAAATCAGGGCTGGGACCAGATTGCATGAAGAGTTCCATGTGTCATCTTACAATGATGGAGACTATCCTTGCAGACAGCAGGGAGCCACTGACAAGTGTCAGCACAGAGCACATGATGGGTTGGGTTCTTTGGAAAGGGCTTTCCAAAGGCAGAGGGAAGGACAGGAATAGAAGATGTGAGTTTCAGCACAAAACCTATCTGACAGCATGTAGTAAACAGAGGATGGGGAAGAGGGTGCAGATCCCACTTCCTTCCAGAGAGGTCTTACACAAACAAGACCAAGATCATGACCGGAGACTGATTCCTGGATACCCTGAGGAGGAGGACTGGTTGGAGGCAGCCAGATCACTACCACAGGCCATCATTAAAATGCTGTGTGCAGGGGCTTCTCACATGAAAATTCTGAAATGGCACAGTTCATGGCCTGCATGAAACCTTCAAGTATAAATGAGTGTTCATTTCTTGAAAATTGCTGAAAACATGTTGTTTGAGGAAACAGTATACAATGAGCAAAACAGACCTCATAAGACTAATTTCTCAGCGAGCTCATGGGAGTCTTTATAAATATTGTATGAGTATTGAAATCAGACAATTAAAGCAATATTGTTGGTGTCTTATGCATGGAATCTCAGCCATAGCAGGTATATCAGATATAGTTAATTTGCATTTATCATCTCTAGCTCCTTGGAAGTATCCTAGGACCAATGACTTCTGGTTTCAGTGGTTGCTTGTTCTGTTGCAAATAATGTGCTACCTTTCCTCCCTGTGTGTGGTTCTGTGTCTGAAAACTCAAAGATCTTGTTTTCCACTTGGTCCCACTTGATTTTGGCTTTTTGCTAGTTAACTGATAAAAGTCTCACAGATTTTTCTGTCTGGGCTGCATTTGGACCATGATGCTTAGCACTAAGCTTCCTGCTTAGCTAGGATTACAGGGCCTGGGCCAGCTGTGAGAACTCAGTGACCCATCTCCCCCAACCACTGCAGCCATGGGCAGAGTCCACTGTCACTATTCACAATGCACACGGGATACCAGGCATCCAGCACTATCCCACTGGAGCACAGTACAAACCTAAGAGATGACTGATATGTTTAGATGAGCACACTGTGGATCAGAGAGGGGTCCTGAGCTACCCAAAGTCACCCAGCAAACATTCCCCTCAGTCAATGGATTCCACAGATCACTTTTTTACCCAGTGCTTTTCTGACTCATGGGCACATTTAAATCAGCTGTGTTCTTTTTCAGATACGGATTTCGTTTCAGTAGATATGGGTGTGGCTGGGAATTCTACACCCATAAGTGAGCTCCAGGTGAAGTGTGCACATTGCAGGGCCCACCACCCACACTCTGAATATGGAGTGTGGGTTGCTGTATTTTACTGCTCCTTTTTATAACAGGAAAAGTAATGCTTAGAGAGCAAGGATGACTGTGATAAGGTTAGCACTAGAATCTGGTTCACTGGCCCTAAAGGACAGACTCGGGCTATTATGAAAAATTAGGTGTAGAGGGTGAACGAGTCAGGCTCTGGGCCCTGATAGCCACAAGTTCAAGTGTCAGCTCATCAACTAAGCAAGCTGTCCCTTCACATCACTTCTCCAAGCCCCAGTTTGCTCTCCCACACAAGAAAAATTCAGATTCCTGCTTCCCAGGGTGGTTTGAGAATAGCAGTGTGACAAAAAGTGTATTTCCATCCTAAATGAGATAATTCATTATGCCTAATTATCTCATAATACCAGGAAAATAGCAATAACAATAGTAGATGGTATCTAGCATTTCCTATTGTTTTTGCTATTTTCCTGAATTGTAACTAGTCTCCTGATACTTGTGGCCATTTTTTTTAACCATTAGTCTCTTTCCTAATTATACCAGTTATAGATGTTCATTCCTGAAAGTTTGGTAAGTACTAAAAAAAAACATAAAGGGAAAATAATCAGGTTTGCATGTCTAATTTACAAATAATAACAAGTAATATTTTGGTGTTGTGCATTTCTGTAGTCTTCCTTTTCCTGTTTTACAACATGTTGATAGTTACAACATGACTATACCTGTGTTATTTGTGCATTTTGCATGTGTGGCTATTTAAATATAAGTCAGTGCTGGTGCCTCATGTTTGTAATCCTGGCTATCAGGAAGCTGAGATCTAAGGATCTCAGTTAGAAGCCAGCCTGGGCAAGGATGCTTATTAGTTAACCGGACAAACTCCAGAGATAAAGCTGTGGCTCAAGTGGTAGAGTGCCAACCTTGAGAGAAAAAGCCAAGTGATAGCAAAGGGCCCTGAATTTAAGCCCCAGTACCAGCACAAAAATAAATGAATAAATAAACTTAACAAATCACTAAAATTCATAGAGAATAAAAGGTTTAAATCCTCACTCATTCTTTTCACCTTTCAAATGTTCCATAGTCATTTGCTACTGGGGACAGCCACACAGGAGATGTTTGTATATAGAGATGTTTGTATAATCTAAGTCCCACCTGACAGTGTTGTATGTGGCTTCATTTCTTGCTTTTCCTCTCTTAGTCTTGAATCATATACGCAGATCATGTACACAGTTTCACATGTCCTCCTCCAAAAACTAGTTTTACTGTCTAAACTATACAGATGTGCTGTGAATTATTTAACTAGTCTTCTATTTCAGGATACTTAGGGTGCTACCAAATGTTTCCTGCTCTATGTTATAACCCACTGAACAACATGGGCATCACTTGATGTATGTTCATATCTATTGCCTCAAGATAAATATTCTTCTATAAGGAAAATATGGGGCCAGCAGGACAGAGAACACATATATGTATATGTATGCATGTATACACATGTGCACACATGTATTCATGTGTGCCATGTGTATGTTCATGTATGTGTGTGCACACATACCTGTTTATATGCATTACATATATGCATATATGTATATGTATATATCATTAAAAGTTCCATTTATATTATATACATATATATATAACATACATACCCTACATATAAGGAATATATAATATAAGTGATATACAGGAAATATATGTATAGGGAATATATGTATAGGATATATAGTATATATATTCTCTATTATATTTTCAGATATATATCCATTGAGACTCTGGGAAGACTTTATCAGTTAACTTCTCAGGCCAATTTATTTTTGTTCTTGCCAATCTGAGAAAATAATTGCACTCCATTTTTACTGTATAACTGTCACTACCAGGTATATTTAAGACTTTTTAAAGAACTCTAGATCAATTACATCTGTTTATATAAATTCTCTTACAAATTAACAAAAAAGTGTATGTTGAGAATGTACTGCCAGGTGCTGGTGGGTCACATCTGTAATCCTAGCTACTCAGAAAGCTGAGGTCTGAGATTCACAGTTCAAAACCAGTCCAGGCAGACAAATCCAAGAGACTTATTTCTAATTAACTTGCCAAAAAAAACAGAAGTGGAGGCATGGATCAAGTGATAGAGCACCAACCCTGGGTGAAAAAAAAAAGCTAAGAGAAAGCATGAGCCTCTGAGTTCAAGCCCCAGTACTGGCATGAGAAACAGAGAGAGAAAGAGAATGTAGCATCTACTCACCAGGTAAAAGGTAGTGAGTGTGCCCAGAGTCCATCTGTGCATTAAACGCATGCTGGGCAGAGCAGAGCCTCAGTAAATATTTACAGATCTTGGCCGAATCAGTAACAAACGTATGCTTTTTCCCAGTGATACTGCTGGTGATAGTGAACTTTTTTCGCTGAAGGAAGCAAACGCAGACTTTAATGTTTTATCTCTCTTATCCATCCACTGAAGTACAAGTGTAAAGAGTGTAATAAAATGTTCAGCTTCATTTGTCAAGTCAGGATGCAGCAAAGCCACCATTGCAACCATGTGCATATAGAAACAACCCAAATGCCTTTCAATGGATTCATGGATCAAGCAAATGTCACACACACACACACACACACACACACACACACACACACTGGAATTTTATTCATCCTTCAAGAATGATACTGCATATGTCAAAAAATGAACTTTACGACTTTGGTGGGGGGGGGGAGGATCAGGTGGGAAGAGAGGGGAGTATGGGAAGGGATGGGAAGGGGAAACAAAGAGGAGGCAACAATGCTTGATAAGAAATGTACTCGTTATCTTGCCCATGTAATTGTAACTCCTCTGTACAGTATTCTCACAATAAAAAAAAGAATGATACTGCATCATTTGAAAAGAAATGTATGGGCCTGGGAAAGAATTACATGAAGTAAAGTAAGGGACAATGGACAAATGTTTTCTCTCACATGTGGAAGCTAAATCTATTGTATAACAATATGTATAAACATATAAGGGTCACATGCATATGTGTACAAATGTATTAACTAAAGTGTGGTATACAGAGGGGAGGATTCCAGTAATGTAGCTCCTTTGAACAACTGACTTGCAGTCTAACATATGAATACCAGAAGCTAGAATCTGAGGTGTTGGGACATGAGGTTGAGGAGGAGGGCAAACAAGTGGAGAGAGGAAGAATGGGAGGATGCAGTCATAGTATTCCTGGTGAATATGAAAACAGGACAAGGTAAATAGAGGGAATGGGTGGAGTTGGGAGAGAAGGAAGAGAATGATGCAAAGGGTGACATGGATCAAGATGAATTGGACTCACAAACGGACATGCTGAATTGAAATCCCTTTGTTCAACTACTTAAAGACAATAAAATGACAATAATAAACATATGCTCAGCCCCAATGCCCATTATCAGCATATCAGCAGCCAGATACAGATAAGCATTTTCTGACAATAGCCCTATATTTTTTTCATGAGCTAAAAAATAATCTTTCGATCTTTCCCTCATTCCTAAGTCAAATGCATACTTAGCAGAAAATTGCTACTTGCTAAGGAGTGTACAAGATGAAAAGAGTCTAGAGAAATCAGGTGCACACATCACCCTGAGCAAGGAGTCAGCATCATCCTCAATGTGCATTATGAAGAGGCCGATGAATATTCTTATTGTTTTCAGGCTACAAATTCCAAAACGTTATAGAGATCTCACCTAGTAGATGGGGTACAAGAAAATAAAATAAAAGCACACCTCTGTGTGCATTCTAATATTTTTTGTTGCAATGAGACAAAGAAGCACCAGGCGGGAAACTGGCAGGCAGGCAGGCACTTCTGTGATTAGTGATCACAGAGCAGAAGAACCAGGGAGCTGTGAGCAGACTGGCAGAGACCAGTGACCACCAACCCTGAGCCTTATAATAACATGTGAGCAGAGAAATGTGTTGCATACAACAAAAGGCATCCCTGGACCTACATGCAAAGTTGTGTGTGCTCTCTAGATGTCTTTCCCTTTCCCTTTCCTTGGGAAAAGCATGTCTATTCAAACCCTTCCCATAAAACACAATGTATATCTTTGTTTCTGCTTACTATGTCCACAGTGTACCCCGTTGTGTTTCTTTTCTGGAATGTGTGTTCACTTTGCTGTTTTTGTGGGCTTCTTGAATTCAGCACCTACGTACTGTCCCTTAGCTTTTTCACTTAAGGCTAAGGCTGGCACTTTACCACTTGAGCCACAGCTCAACTTCTGACTTCGGTGGTTAAACGGAGCTGAGTCTTGTGGACTTCCCTGCCTGAGCTGGCTTCAAATCATGATCCTCAAATCATGATCTTCAAAGCTCGGCCATCTGAATAGCTTAGATTTCAGACATGAGTCATCGGCACTTTCTTCTTCTTCTTCTTCTTCTTCTTCTTCTTCTTCTTCTTCTTCTTCTTCTTCTTCTTCTTC